AATATATATATCTACTTAAAGTCATCTCCTGGATGTCTCAAAGACACCTTAGATGGAACCTGGCCAAACCGAGCTCCTAATTTTCTCCTGAAGTTTTTTTTTCTATCCTGATGTTCCATATCAGTGGATGGTCCAAGCATCCATTTGGTTGTGAAAGCCAGAAAACTGGGAACTATCCTTGACATTTCTTCTTGCTCATTCAGTTCATCATAAAGTCATGTTGGTCTTCCATCCCAAACAAAATTCTCTTTCTCCTTCTCTCCAGCTTGCCAAAATAGGCATGGTCTAGAAGGCCATCATCTCTTGATTTCATTCTATACTAGCTTCCACCATAATCACCAACCCATCCACCATTCTCCCTATTTCACCCAGAGTTATTTTCAAATCACACATCTGATTATGTCACCTTGTGACTTAAAATCCTTCCATTATTTCCTACTGCTCTTACAATGAAGATAAAAGTCTTTAATACAGCAAGTCCATGTCAAGCTCCAGTGTCATCCCCATTCCCCTTGCCCCAGAATACTGTTTAACTCCACGATGGCAGGGACTGTGCCCATTTTGTTTTTACTATTTTATCTCAGAATCTGCTTCAGCACCTGGCATAGGCCAATACTCAATCTATAGTTGTTAATACATGATTAAATGATTGAGTACATAAATACATCAACTGAATAAGTCTATTCATAATCCACTGGGTACAATTTGTGTTTTCTATCATGGTACTTTATGTTGGAGTTGCTCATCCAAATATTACCATCCTTTAATTCTTAGTTAAAAGACTGGCTCCATCAGGATGGCTTCCTTGATTTATCTAGTGGAAAATACTCGTGTATCTGATTATAAAATTCTATAGCCTTTTTATCTAATTAAATATCTTTAACATAACTAATATATCCAATTAAACTGCAAGTTCCTTGAAGGTGAGTGTTGAGTTTATGCTTTTAATTGTCCTGCACATCACCTAACATACTTGATTGATTAACTGATTGACTGATGTGGCAATATCTGGATGATTTTTCCTGCCACTAGAGCAGTGACTTTCACCTAGTGTGCCATGGCACAGTGGGGCGCCACAAGAATTCTTAAAACATGCAGTACATGCATATTTAGTCAGGGGCCCTGATCTCTTTTCCCTTAGATTGTCAAATAAAAAAAAAAGACAACAGCCAACACAACAATAGCCATCTTGTGTGAATGTATCAAAATTATACATATTTTTGTCAGATCAGCAAAAATATATATATATTTTGGTGTGCCACAGAATTTTAGTAATTAGTTTATGTGTGCCAGGAGATGAAAAGAAAAGTTGAAAGTCATTCCACTAGAGCAACTGCGGTGATATTAGAAAGAGTGGATGAGGCTAATAAAAATGTGATGGCCCAGTAAAAATGTTGGTTAGGTAATATATCTCTTGAGTCTAACATAAAGGATCAAGAATAGGAGACTTATTTGCCCTATAAATTTTTGTTAGTTTTCTAAACTCAAATGTCATAAAATCTACTCCATAGCTACAACATGTGTGGTGGGTGTATGTTTTAAAATATTGCCTAAGCTTCCCATCAGAGAAATTTTCCAAAAGAATATTATGTATGCCACTGAGGTGGAGCCTAACCATGGAGACTCTTTGAAGCTCCCCAGATAATGCTTAAGTGGAAAACCACTTCAATCACTCAAAATTACCATTTTACAATTATGGGGCGAGAAGACTCACAGCTCCTTGAGCCCAGCAGTTCTTTGGCTCCGACTCTAGACCAGACACTTTCATAAGTGGTTAACGTGGTGATTGACTATGTTAATAGCACGGGGTATAAGCTTGAAAGGATGTTTGATTTTAGTCTGTTACTTATTTCTACAAGATGTATCTATCAGTGGGTGATTTACTTTGGACTAGAAACAGAAACTATTTCATCCCATAATTAAGACCAAACCATTTAAAGGGGCATTTGCCTGAAATATGTGAACTACCAGGCCAGAGAGTTAAAATTTGAAAAACATGTGAAAACTGCTCAAAATTATATTCTGTCATAATATATACCCATGAAAGGACAAGACGTTTTCACACAAAAGTAAATTAATGCAAGAAAAAAGATGATAAAATATGTGCACAATCATTGCAAATACTGAGAGACAGAAATATAAATTTAGAAACTCAATAGCTTTGTTAGTAACCAAATGTTATATCTAAACTTCACCCAGGATAAAAGAACTAAGGTAATAATATCAAGTTCAGATATTATTTTATGTTACATACATTTTTAAAAAGTTTAACAGATGATATAGTATCCAAAAAACTTTATACCTCTCTGGCCAAGCATAAAATTTAGGTTTAACTTGGTCCCAATTTCAAAGATTTGTGTTACTTGCTACGGGGAAATTAGGTATCACCTGGAGGTGTAAGGACATCGTTTTTTTGCACTGACTTTGCAATTTGCATTTGTCTGGTCACTATTCTTGCTCCTTCCATGATTTTGCATGTCAAAATTAAATAGTAATATTTTTACAAAGGGAAGTTCACACAAAAAGTAGAAAATACTCTTCAACATAGCAGATTCACAAATAACATATTACTTCTTTAAGTTTATTTTAACAATTAAGAACAGAAGTTTATCTTTTCACAAAATGCAAATAATTGCTCCTAGCCTTTTCCTACATTTGTGTTAAGTGGGTCCTAGTTGCATAGCTTAAATTCAATATCAAGTTCAGTGCACACAAAGAATGTAAATCTTCCAATAGTTCTAGAAATAAATTTTATTTGGCTACTACTCAAACAGTATCTTTGTATGTACAATTAACCAAAACAGTTCAGTTCTAATACAACTGTTAACTAGAAAAAATGAAACCTTTTCTCCTATGTCTTGCCTCCATTACCATTTGCTCCAGCAAGACGTGAGAAAAGAATTATGCTGCAATATTTAAAAGGAATGATATCCATGTTTTGGTTTGGTCATAAGAAAGCAGTCATATAAATTATACCTAGTAGCATTTGGAGACACAATTTCGAAATGGGAAGTAAAAGAAAATGGGGCTTAAATGAAAAGAATTAGTACTAGGAAAAATTTTGTATAATGATGGCCTTGAAAATTATAGGGAAGAAAAATCATCTTTTTATGGGTTTAGTCTTTCCTGAGCCTGAATATTTGCCCTGGGTGATGGGTATATGCATGAGTGTGTGTGTGTGTGTGTGTGTGTGTGTGTGTGTGTGAGAGAGAGAGAGAGAGAGAGAGAGAAATTCAACAGCAACTCACAGCACAATAAGAGTAAATCCACCTGCCTGCCACTCACACCCTTTGGGAGACTTTAGAGACAAAGCCCGGAAGACCACACTCAGTCTAGACCTTTCCGTGAGATCTGGAGTGTGAATGCTAAATCTGAATTATCTTCCTTGAGTCCCCATTGAAGTGACAGAATTTTAGGAAAGAGGAAATTAATTCTGGAATAAATTCTGAAATTAATCTTTGTGGGTAAGTAGAAAGTTCTTAACAGTGGTTGGAGAGATGGCTAAGGAGAAACTCTTAGAATCGGAGATAGAATGAGATTGAGAATAGAGACAACTTCCCGAGAGGCCCCTCAGAAAAGGTGCAAATCCATGGGTGCTTCCCTCTGGGTTCTGGGAGAGCCATGTCAAACACACTTGTTGATAATTCTTTCTCCATTGCTTTTACTCTTCTTCAGTCCTTTAATAAATTCAGATATACAGTAGTAACTGTTTGTAGTGACTGGGAGGTGGAAGTAAGTAGGGCCATTATGCCCCCCCCCCTTTAACTGTGTGCATGTTCTGCAGAGGATTTAGCACACAGCACCAAGTTCCTGAGGGAATCTGAAGTACATGAACATGGTAGAAAAAAGTCAGAGTAAAGCCTTGCATCTGTTTTTTCTATTGTATGCCATTGCCTGCCACGTCTCTTCTTTCTATGTGCTACATTAGATATTGTGGAAAAAATGTTTTAAAACTGAACATTTATAATAAAAAATGGGAGGGAAGAAAGAACTAGAAAACAATAGTGTAGAATATTACATTTCTCTTTCCAGTACTCACTGAATTTACTTCTTCCCTAACCTTCTACTGATAAACATATTCTATCACAAAATCATTGTTAGAACCTTAGAGATTTTGATAACAAAATGCCAAAGAAGCCAAAATTTCAAGTCATTTCCAAAGAATATGAACAGATTTTATTTGAGAAATTGTTAAAAAAAATCCCACATGTTGATGTGAGCACAAATGGACATTAAACAGGTGGACTGACCAAGACCTGCAATGTGTCAATAACAAAGTAAGAGTCTGCTGCACCCTGCCACGCTGTACCACCCATCACTGTGTAAAGTCACCCTGGACACCTAGATCATAACGAGCCTGTGGATCTCCTGGGACCTTGTGGAGTGACAACAGCCCTGATGGAACCCCGAGGGCAGGTTGTGACTGCATCACTTCCTTTGAAAATATGGAGCTGAGTTCCAGTATCAGTTTCCAAGCATATAAGGATACTAATAGTTTTTATTCTTTATTCAGAATTAAGAAAGGGACATGGAGCATCAAATCTGACATGCAACAAATCCTTCTGTCTACAGCCCCGAGAAGCTGTGATATTTAGGTAGTTAAAAGGTGACTGGCAGGAAGATCCACTGTGCTCACTGCGTTTGACATGCATTCAGAATGTTGGGTAACAGGAAAATTCTGAATGCAGGATATAGATTTCTTGTCATATATCACATTTAATAGATATATTTAATATTCACTATTGAATATTAAAACTATATTCCCTTGAAGCAATAGAGGCATCAAGAAGGAAAGAAAAATGACATGTTATCTTTTCTGACATAGTGAACATTGAAAAAGATTTAGAATAAATACTAACTTAATCATGACAGGCATGCCTGGGGAAAGCGCGTGGTAATTATCAAAAGCACGAGAGCATCAGAGGAGGAGTCCAGCAAGCTCAGTTCATCCATGGCTGCGACACAAATTATATAATCTTGAACAACCTCAGGTCACTCACCTTGGCTCCCCGCTCTGTCAAAGGCAGCTAATCACATGACCTACAGTTATTGTGAAGAACAAATCAAACAATGGGTATGATTACAGCAAACTCACAAAATATAAGTTAATCTAGTAGTTTAATGAGATAATACACCCATTATAGGCACATTACACTCATTAACTACAAAATTATTTTAATTAGCAAATACAGATTGGCTGAACCATCCATGTAAAATTAGCAAATACAAATATTAAATATGAGTATTTAAACAGGAGTGAGAGAAACATTGAATCATTGTTTATTGAGAGTAGTGTCAGAAGCTGAATTGATTCTCATCCCAAGTGACACAGAATATCTGTTGCCTTCACATATAAAGTACATCAAACTCTTGGAAAATTATTGACATTTTAAAAGAAATATTTTCAATTAACATTACATTCCAAATGGTACAATGATTTTAAAGAAGAACTAGTAGAAAAAGTAAACAAATATAAGTTGATTTTCAAGTCTAAAAGCTTAAAAACATAAGAAGTTAGAATTGAAACAGTAAAGGAGTAGGCTGTAGAATATGTGGAAATTTGCATATTTCTAGTTCCAGAAGCACTCCGCACTTGGGAGTGCCTTTCTCTAAATTTTCTAAAACATCCTCTGGCACCTGGTACCGGCCATGGCTTGTGGTGCTATCTAGACAGTGTTTTCTGAGCTGAAATCATGAACCACAAGAGCTTCAATCACCATTTTTCCACTTTGGGGAACACACCGACTCTCTTTCCATGGTGTGAAGTCAACCAAATACCCCAAGGAGCTCTGGAGTTGATCATTCACGCTGATGGAGTTGTCCTGTACCCCCGCAGTTGGTCCTATTCATGGAGGACAGCCTGATGAATGGATAACTCCCAATGTCAGCACAGCATTTCTTTCCATAGGATCACATGAGAGTGGGTTTGAATGGATAACTCCTGACATCGCATTGCTTCATAGGATCACAGGAGAGTGGGTTGCCATAATGGCAATTACACGCAGCAGATGTTGGTTGATGTTATCATCAGCCATAAGACAAGTTCTGGACTGGGTTACCAAGGATCCATTGCTGAACCTTGGGCTTGAGCTACGTGTGTTGGTTTGTGAGTGAGCTCTCCCTCAACTCTTGTTCTGACCACAGTGCCACCTCTGGTTCTAGTATCCAAGAGTGTGCTTTACCCTATGCAACCCTGGCTACTGGCCCCTAGTGCCATCACCTATCCTCCTATCCTCCGTATAGGCTCTATGCCATGTGTCTGCAGCTCTCTGGGTGCGGATGCACTTTTTTTAAAAAAATTATTTATTTTTAGAGAGAAAGGGAGGGAGAAAGAGAGGGAGAGAAACTCAATGTGTGGTTGCCTCTCACATGCCCCCTACTGGGGACCTGGCCTGCAACCCAGGCATGTGCTCTGACTGGGAATCCAACCAGCAACCCTTTGGTTTGCAGCCTATGCTTAATCCACTGAGCTACACCATCCAGGGCTGGATGCATTTTTTTTCCAAGGGCTTTGGTTTGATAACTGCTCTTGCCTTTGACCAATGTGATAATGCTATGCTCTCCTGAGATGATTTCCTTATACAAATTGGACTGTTCTTTTGCTCTCCCATTCCCCCAAGCCCTGTAAGTATTCTGTCTGCTGATTGCGGTGTGAGGAAGGAAGACAGGGGAGTCAACACTGAATGAGATCACATGCTAGGAATGCAATGACTATAGCATAAAGGATTCAAGACAAGACATTGTTAGAAGACATGTTGTTTTATGTTTATACTAAAAACTTCTAAATGGTAAATTTAACATGAGTGAAAAATAAATTGTTGTTCACGCTTTCCTGTGTAGTTTAAGTAAAGCTTACATTTGTGAGCATTATCTAGGAATCAGTGACAACATTTGAGGGAGGCCTTGGAAGCTAGCTATCATGGGAGGCACTGTGAATGTTGCAGTGTCGAGTAATCATGTAACCAGAATTAAATAAATAGTATTAGGGAACTGCAGAAACAAGATCTCTATTTTTCAATATCTGCAGTTTCCAAAAAGCTATGATCCTGTGAGTAATAACAATGTTGATGCCTTTTTTCTCGATGAGAGATATAAAAGTAGCCAGGGATGATGCATTCAACAATACACAACATGAAGAGATGGTTCCTGAACCTGAAGAGGGAGAGAGAATGTCTGTACACTGTTGGGAATGGCCATCTGCCATGGGCCCTGAGCAGTCAGTCCTATTGTTGCTCTGTGTGCCAGGTTACAATGTTTATCCACCTTCTGATATTGATCAGTTTCTGTAACTAGTCACAGGGACACTAAGTGACTGCAGCAAGGCTGGGGGGAGGGGTAAGGCTGAATGGTTTGCTGCTTGCTAGAAAACAGCAAGTTGCAACTTGTTAGAAAGTTCTGCTCTCCTGGTCCTTGGATCCTCTGCTATAACACAACCCACTGCATGTTCAGGTGGCATCAGGGCTCATAGTACCAACCAGTGGGACTTGGCAAAGACAACTAATGCAAATATGCTGATGGTTATGCTGTTTTGTGTGTGTGTATGTGCTGTGAACAATTTATTCCTTTGTCTCTGACCCAAGAGTCTCCTTGAAATAAAAACTAACTTCTGAGATTGTAAGTAGGGTAAACTCTTACAGCCTTCATGGTTCTTGGCAGACAGTACAAACAATTCTCAGGTGCATGACTGGACAATAAACACATAAAAATCTTTCTACTTATTATTCTAATTTTTATCAATATATTACTGTAATTCACCTGGACCTATAAATTCATAATGCATTTTAAAATCAAATTAGCTATGTAGACAGGGGCCCAATAAAAAAAATTTGCTCTGGACTCTATACACTCCACGTATAGACCTAGGTAGGGTGTCATTATTTGGAACAGCTACTTTGCTGTTAAGCAGAAAATGTATTCAAACTGGTTTTTTGTCTTGTGAAACTAAGAATTCTAAATGAATATAATATATATTAATTATTACAGTCCTCAAAGCAAGTGTTGTATAAATAATCAAAAAGGTAAAAAATAATAACTAATACTTATATTGAATTAACATATACCACACCCTGATCAAATATTTGATATATATTATCTCATTTAATCCTACAGTCCTATTATCCCTAGCTTTTTTTTAAACAATTAATACTCCTGAAATTTCATACTTAGTTAACATTTTAAAATATTCTACTTAAAGGTATGGGTAGATTTAAGCTTAGGATAAGAAGAGTGTCAAAGTAGAAGGTGGGTGTGTTTGCAGATATATTCAAAGGGCATTGCATTAAACACTCACGGATTGGATAAGATCAACCAAGCCCAGGAAAGGAACTGCAAAAACCAAGGTTTCCAAGGACCTCAGGGCCTAGAACTAGAGATTTGAATGCTTTGCTCAAGAGTCTGTTTCTCACCTTCTCCCCCACCCCCCTTTGTCTTTTATTTCTTCCATCTGTCTGCATAGAATTTGCAGTCCTAGCCTGAATCACAACTGGCAACTCCTGGACTGGAATCCTCACGTCTTCACCACCTAAGATAAAAGGGCCCATCCTTCTAACTTAAGTTCAAGTTTGATTGGCACAATATACATCATGTGCTCACTCCTTAGATTAATCATTGTGGGCATGGTGTATTATCATTACAAACTTCTATTAACTGTTGAGTTTAAGCATTTAGTAAAGAAGAAGAAAAAGATGTGGGGGAAACCAAACAAAGAAATATTTACAACAATAAATTAGACAATGAGTCAATTGCCAAAAATTATGAGCTAAAATTTAGTCAATTGTTAACACTATGAGCTAACCTTGTCAAAATCATTGGTTTATTCTTCACAAAGAAAGAAGATCTATTGTTATGTAAGTATGCAACTTGAATGCCATCTAGGGAGCCAGAATCCAGCAGCTCAGGGCCTCCTACTACATATGAGCATAGCATTGAGGTTAAACAAATGGTGCTCTATCTACCCAAGGAATGTACTCCAAACATTTTGTAATTATCATGGACCTCAACCCTAAAACATTCCTATCAACAAAAAGGGATTGCCTGGTGAATCCAGTAAAGGCAGTAGAGTTTATTCTTTATCTCTTACTAAGAACTATACTAAGCCTATCTAATCTCATAGGAACACTAGCTGATTGAGTAGCATGTTTGAATTTACATTAGAAAGGCAAAATGACTTGTTTAATATTGCACATAACAACCATCTAAGTCTAATTATAGATTTTGACATTAAAGGTGCTCCTCAGCTAACTGTGAGCTCTTTGCAATAATTGACACTTTCAAAATTTGTTTTCATAAACTTGAAAACTTTAGCAACCTCTTTCACTGGAGGGCCATTTCAAAGACTACTTCTGACAGGACTGTGTTATATTATGATGGCTTGTGCTCATTCCTGGTGGTGACACCTTTTTATCTGAGCACCATGGAGCCGTATCTGTTCACCAAGGTGGCTGTTAGTGCTAGATAACTCACTTAGATACAAAAAAGTACATGCCATAGTGAAAAAGCAGGTTAAGGGGATGATTAGAAGGGCATTTTACAGAAGTCTGACATAGGCGTACCCACAACTACCTCTACTTTGAAAAAAAAAAGAATAATTGTATTGGAATAGATATTGAGGGCCTAAAAATAAGTCCAAAACACCCAGGCAGTCACTATCAGCATTTATGTCATCTGGCAGACACTGGTGGGGAGACTTTTTAAGGCTGGAGGCCCCTTCTCCAGTTTCACTGGAACTAGGTTCCTAGGTACTTTTGCCTTTGTGGGCCCCTTTTCTCCATTAAAAAATAATGCATTGTATCATGTTATTGGCATGAAGATGAAGATATTACTATTTTATATTGAAACATTTTTAACCTAAAAGCCTGTTTTAAATTCTGATTTAAAGGACATTAAAACACATTCGTGGACTCCTAAAAGCATTGTGGTCATAAGACACTGTGCCTTCTGTGCCCAACAGATAAGGTGGCCTTGGCTAAAATCACACCTTTTCCTCTTCAAGAATATTCAGCCTTTAAAATATAGTTGCTAGGTTGTTGTGAGACCAAGTATTCTAAATGAATAGCCAGTGAGTCCTAGGATGTACTAATTTTAAAAGAATAACTGCAGAACATCGTCACCCACAGGCAGTCTGTTGATTTAACCACAAATGTTAGAGTTGAACATTTTAGAATGAAAATAAGTACAATATAGAAGCAGCTTTTCCTAAGGCTTTCCAATGTTCCTTTGAATGGAATAAATTGGTAGAACACAGTGTCTGCTTTAAAATACACTTAACATTTGTTGGTTAATCCAATGCCACATTTTGTACTTTAAACTACCGAAAGGTAAGCAAATGGTGGGATTTGTTTGACAGAAATAAACATATCTGTCCTAAATAAGACAAAGCCATTTTACATTATTCATTCAGTCATTAAGTAAATATTAATTAGTGTCTATTGTATAGTTGCTAGGAATGTGAGCTCAAGCCTGAAAGTGTGAAAAAACCTGGTGAATTTAGAAGCCTGCAAGTAATTGTGTAGGCTGACTCTCTGTGCATTTTGAGGGGTAGTAGGTGGTTGTGATGATGCTGGAGATGCAGTGATCAGGTGTTAAAGGAGATTATTTGCCTTGTTAAGGAAGTTGATTTTTTTCTGAAGTCAATGAGGACCCAATGAATTATTTTAACTGAGGAATGCCATGATTAAATTTAAAATTTAGAAAGAGATCTCTAGTGGAGCATGGAGCACTGGTTTGCAACCTTTCTTTCAGGATAGAATCACAAGTAGAGCCCTGAAACTTGCCAGTGCTGAGAGCATCCCCTACAAAGACTCATTAGCCTCAGGTAAGGCACCAAGTACAACGGCTTTTAAAAACTGACCAGCTGGTTCTCAGGTACAGCTGAGGCTGGAGAACAGGAGTTGTGGCAGACTGGCATGGAACAAGACTGCGTGACGCTAAGTGAGAAATAATAAGAAACTAATCTAATAGTAGCAGAGAAAAAATGCATGTAGGAACAGAAAATCGGGTTGGTTGGATTTACCATAAATTATTTGAAAACGGTTAGTATAATAAAACTGGTGTCTCCAGGATCTAGCCACATGGCTCCACCGTGTGGATAAACTGTGATGTATCAAGTCACCTGATTGCTTGTTTCCCTCTCTCTGATCCTGTTTGCTCATTAATGTGAGACTGTTAGTAGAAATAAATTTTAAAAGGCAAAAAATAATGTGATTAGAAGAAAAATATACACTGACACATGAACACTTTTAGAACTCAGATACTTTATTCAAATCTGACATAAAGCTTTTATGTATGAAATTTCTTTATAGTTTTTCCTTAGGCACAACATTTATGAAAAAGGCATTTATTTGCCTTTATTAAGTCTAAAAATCTATTATATAGTGAAATTATCACAGTTGTTTTTGAGTAAAAGATATAAAGAGTGTGGCTCTGAGTACTAGAAATGCCAAACACAATTATTTTTTTATCTCAATAGTATTCCTTGAAAGTCGCTTCATAATCAGTCATACAATTCTTACTCTTTGCATATACTTACATAATTCAGGTAGAAATTTTAAATTGATTAAAAGAGCAAAATAAACTGATTAATTTTTGTGACCGCAGAAGTTTCTCATCTTATTTAACTACTAACATAATTCTCTTTAAAAGCTTGGAATGTATGATTCTTAATGGCAAAATAAAACATCTTCATAGTCTGTAAACTTTCATACATGATTTGCTATTGTAATTTCTCAATATCTTCAAGCAAATTCTGAAAATGAGATTATTAAACTACTGATATTAACATTGCATTTCTAATTCTCCAGCCTCTGGACAACTTGGTCAATAAGCACTTTTCCAGTTATAATTAAGTTGTTCTTTTCACCTCAAGGTTTGAACCAAGTTTAAATTTTAAGTCTATAATCTAATATATCAATCCAAAGATTTATGTTTTACCTCAAAACTGTCTTTCTTCTGGAAGAAACATAATCTTCACCACTGAAATATATCAAATAAAAGAAAAACAAATTAAGTCTAAATATGTGAGTGGATAAAAATACTGCCTTATTGCAATGATGTTTTTAACAAAAATTGTCTAGATGTGGAACAGTAATTAATTTAATAAATATTTTTAGAATATTTTCCAGGTGTAAGGTATTAATTATGTGAGCATTATAGGTAATAGATGTCTAAAAACCAGGATCTCTATTCTGAGGGAGTTTATATCTTTGGAGCAGCAAGTTAAGATAGTCACACATTAAACAGTCAAACAAGATGATACAGATCACATTTAAAGGCCAAAAGAGTGAAGCATACATAGTACAGGGAAGAAGAGATCCTAGTAACTGGAACAGTTAGAGAAAGTAACAGAAGTAACAGGATTTAAGCTAGATGGACCTAAGGGAAATTTGTACAGATCGAAGTTTCCGGGACTGTGGTCAGGGATAGTAACGAGCACAAAAACTGAGAAACAGAATGCAGCTTGCAGGCCAGCAGCACTGGCCTAACCTGGGACCACGTCAGAAAGGAGAACCTTGGTTTCTGCCTACCGCACCAAATTCTGCATTTTAACAAGAATCCTAGGTGATATATACTTATATTAAAATTTTTTAAGTAATCGCCTAGAACATTAGTTAGCAAACTTTTTTTTCTTAAAGGGTTAGATTATAAATATTTTTGTTCTCCATCTCAACTAGGCATCTCTGCTGCTTAGCATGAAAGCAGCCATCAATGACAATGTATAAATAAATAAGCATAGCTAGATTCCAATCAAACTTTATTATTATGATGGTTAATTATACATGTCAGCTCGACTAAATCAGGGGGTGCTCAGGTATTTGGTTCTGGGTGTGTCTGTAAGGATGTTTCTGGATAACAATTGAATTGGTAGACTAAGTGAAGGAGATTGCCCTCCCCAACCTGCTGGAGACCTAAATGGGAAAAAAGGAGGGAGTAAAGGTGAATTCACACTCTCTGCCTATTTTCCAGTTGGGACATTGCCCTTCTGTACTCAGACTAGAACTTACACTATCAGCTCTCTTGTACCTCCAGTTTGCAGACAGCCAATCATGGGACTTGTCAGCCTCCATACCTGCATGAGTCGATTCCTTATAATAAATTACACACACACACACAATCTCCTAATATATATAATCTCCTGATATATAGGCCTGGACAGCGAGAGTTGAATTTCATATAATTTTCAGGTGTCATTAAACACTTTCCTTTTTTTTCAACTATTTGAAAAACTTAAAAACCATTCTTAGCTTGCTGCCCATACAAAAACAGACACAGGCTAGATATGGTCTGTTAGCCACAGTTTGATGGCTGACTCCTGTCTTAGAAAACTGAGCAGTGACCCAGTCAGTGTGGCTCAGTTGGTTGGGCATCATCCTGCAAACTGAAAGGTCACTGGTTTCATGGCATATTCCTAAACTAAGGGTTTGGTCCAATTGGTGTTTCTCTCTCACATTGATATTTTTCTCCCTCTCTTTCTAAAATTTAAAAAAGAAAAAGAAAACTGAGGAGGGACTAAAGATACTGAAAACAAGTTACCCTTCTATTATTTTTATAATCTAAATTTTAGATTTTATAATAGAGGAGTAATACTTAAAGGCGGCAAATTTTTATTACTCTACATTCAAACGGTATTTTAATCCAATTGTGGAATAAATTTTTCTTCCCCCTTTCAGCCAGTGAGAATGTGATTAATAATTTTTTCAAATAGATATTCAATTTCACAATGCTCGTTGTGTGTTTATAAACATAAGGCCAACAAATGATTAAACACCTTTCATTACTTTTTCTTTTTAAAGTATATTTTATTGATTATGCTATTACAGTTGTCTCAGTTTTTCCCACTTTGCCCCCCTCCACCTGATACTCCTCTCCAGTGATCCCCCTTCCTTAGTTCATGTCCATGGGCCGTGCATGTAAGTTCTTTGGCTTCTCTATTTCCTATACTGTTCTTAATATCCCCCTGTCTATTTTGTACCTATCCAATTATGTTTATACCTATAATTTTTCTCCATTCTTCACCTTCCCCCTCCCAGCTGATAAACCTCTAAATGATGTCTGTATCTATGATTCTGTTCCTATTCTAGTTGTTTCCTTAGTTTGTTTTTCAGATTCAGTTGTTGATAGTTGTGTTTGTTGTCATTTTAATGTTCATAGTTTTGACCTTCTTTTTTTCTTAGATAAGACTCTTAAACATTTCATATAATAAGGGCTTGCAAGAAGTATTCAAAGTGATGAAAAGCAAGGATCTGCAACCAAGATTACTCTATCCAGCAAAGCTATCATTTAGAATGAAAGGGCAGATAAAGTGCTTCCCAGACAAGGTAAAGCTAAAGGAGTTCATCATCACATCTTTCAGTATTTTATCTCACAAAGGTAACCTGAAGTACTACAACTGATCTTAACCAAAAGGCTCAGAAGTAATTAAAGGTAACCAGAAATAAAAGTGTGGTTTCCGTTAATCAACCTAACATAAAAGGTGAAGCCCAACTGTGATAAAGGCACTGTCATTTTCCCCATTACCTGGGCTTTAAAAACCAAGTACATTGACACAACTGAAACAACAGTTCTCAAAGTGGGTCCAAGTTCCCAGCATCACCTGGGAACTAGTTAGAAATCCATATTCCTGGGCTAAGGGCCCAGTATTCTTTGTTTTTACAAGCTTTCCAAGTGGACGTTGAACACTAACGTTTGAAAACCACTGAACTCGAGAGAACTCTTGCTTAAGAATGCAGATTCCTGGGGCTCCACTCCAGACCTATTGGATGGGAACCTCTGACTTGCATTTTAACAAGCTCACTGATGACTGTTACGCTTATTCATATATGTAACCCACTGCTTTAGAGTTGCTATTTTCTTTCATCCCACTACCTCAACCAACCTATGGGATTTTGCCAAATCCTATAAATTTTACATTTGCAAATACTTAACCTAATGCTAATCATCAAACTTAGGATTTTTATAAACACAGATTCCCAGGCCCTGGTCCAAAATTACAAACAAAAAGGTATTATGTGAATGCATTACCTCTAATAGAGCATATGTTATATCATATATTGCCTATCTTGGGAGCATGGTTGGGAATTCACCTTTATAACACTGAATTTGATGTAGTTACTCCAAAGAAAAGACATCTGGAACTCACCATGACTATTGACCTCCTTGTTCTATTTTAATGTGAACTGTATAAAGTTATCATCAAAACAATCACAAATAATTTCCAGATTAAAGTAATGCAACTCTGATAATTTTACTCTCACTGAAAAAATTTTTACTGCACTACATAAAAATTACTCAGCTTAACATTCAAGACCCACTGCTAATCTTCTTGCTAGTTCAACTCAGTGAATTCATCTTATTCTCCAACCAATCAAGCTATGATCTTTTCTGGCCTCTAGATTTATACCTTGTACTTTGTGCCCCTTTATTTTGCCTAAGCAGATCCCACCTACCTAAAATGCCCCTTTCCTCAATGTCAGTAAAAATTCAAATTCACAGAAGTGCTATATCCTTCAATTAGTCTATTCTATATACCCATTAACATCTAATATTTATTGAACAATTTGTAAAAGTCAACCACTCTGCTATATCTTCACATGCGTTGACTAATTTACCTTATTTTTCAGACCATAAGATGCACCTAGGTTTTAGAGGAGGAAAATATGAAAAAAAATTTGAAGCAAAAAATGTGGTAAAATATTTAATAACATAACATTTCACCAATGTAAACAGAACTCAACAGCAGCATTAACAACCATTATTTCTCCCAAATTTGGGGAAGGGAAACGTGTGTTTTATAGTCTGAAAATTATGGTAATCCTCACAACCACTTTATGAAGTAGCTACAACTACTTTCTTCACAGCATAGCACTCAGGGTAAAACAGAGTGAAGTGACTTTCCCAAGAATATTCAGTAGCAAGTAGTCAAGCTGGGATTCTGATTTTGTATCCTGAGCTCTGAACACTAGATCTACTGAGTCACGAATGAAATATTTCCACCCTATTGTTACAAAACTGTGTTGGTACTTTGTATAATAGATGTATTCATGCTTAACTAATTGGTATAAAGGGATAAGGTGGTAACAGATCACTTTCAATCAAGGTTGTAACCGAACAAAGGCTAAGGAGAACTGTTTTTTGGATTAACAGTGATTTTTTTTAAATCCACAAAAACTACCTTCAGGTGGACCACTTACCCCTGGCTAGCAGACACATTAACCCTTTAAACTGTGTTGTGGCTGGTTGGGGCCAAAGAAGTAGGCTTGGGGTCTGCTACTGGATTCAAATAGGGGTCTTGTCTACATCAGTACCAGGTATTCAGGGGCTTCAGTATTCAGTAGTACCAGCCTTCAGGGGCTTTATCCAAGATTACTGTCATTGACAGAGGGCTGTATTTGTTCATAATTCTTCAACTATACTCTAAGGACCCTGAAGTAGGAACTGTAAAATAGTCATGTTTATGACCCCATTACCATCATCACCAACACCTGAGAATTAGTACCAGGCCTTGGGTTTAATGGTGATTTAGTGAAATATGCTGAAATGAGCATGAATGTACAGAATTCATTCCTCAGTATGTTGTCAAGCCTCTTTACACCTTGATTTTAAATAGTTCTAAAACAAAAGAAAAAGTGTTTCAATTTGGGTGTGGTTACATTTAGATCAAGGGTATTTTTAAGTATTGTTTATTTTGATTTTTTTGCCTTTTCTTTAGTAGTACTCTGTTTTGGAGAATCTAGGTACTTGCTGCAAGCAATTACTTTTCTTAGTCCCACTGACAAGTGGGGAAAAAACTAGAAAATGATTTTAGAGCCAATGTTAATTGTATATATCAAATAGAATTGCAAATAGCTTGTTTTTGAATATCATTCCAAAGCTATAGTTAGAATGTCAGAAACCCATGTTAGTAGCTGAAGGGGTACAGTTTCATGTCAGGTTTTCAAGTGAGAAAGACACTCTGTTTTGTGAGCATAGTTGTGGTTTTAGTCTGCCCACCACTACCATTTTTTTCCTTGTGACACTGAAATCAGAAACTAAATGAGTATGAATATACTGAAGTGTTTGGGGAAAAAAGGACTATAAATTAATCAGACCACTTACTAAACTGCAAAATTATTCCAGGTTGCACGCATATTTATTGAATCCCTCCCTTACCTTTCTTATTCCCCATTTCTTCCTTTATTCCTAAAATCAAGCAATCTAATCTTTATTATCCGAAATCATTAAGATCGCTAGGGCAGAGTCTGAAGAAGAAGGAAGTCTGTCCTATAGCAAGAGAGAGAAATTCTGAATACTTTAACGGGAAACTCTGGCATGGCACATGGGGAAGTAGAGCCTGTCTGCAGTGACCAGCAGATGACGCTTTGTATCACTTGATCTCTGACTGGCAACCCTGGATTTTGAGGTAATGCCTGCAGTCCAAATATTCAGTTTGAAAATACATACTATAACACAATGTAACAACTGCAAAACAATAAATGAGATTGTGTTTACTTAAAGAAGTCACTGTGATCTTTCTTAATGACACTTCTGGGTGGTGCCTAATGAATTTATATCTTTGTTTTTAAAGGAATTTTTCTATTACTCTGAAAAGTATAAATTCTGTTTTGTTTTTTTGTTTGAAACATCTCTATCTAGTAGCAGAGACATTGTTATTTAAAAGTAATGAGAAGAAGATGAAGGGATTAGCCAAAGAACGTATTTGCATAACCCATAGACAACGTGTGGTAACGCACAGAGAGAAGGCAGGGGCAGGGACTGGGTGGAGGTGGGCAAAAGGTATGGGGGTGGAATCCAGACAACTGTAAGAGCATAAACAATAAGAATAAAGAACAATAACAAAAAATAAAAACAATTTAACAATAAAAATACAATAAAAGTAATGGGGAGGAGCGAGGAGTGAAAGGGAATTGGCCAGGCATTGATAATTGTTGAAATACACTTCTCTCTATTCTTAATGTTTGAACTTTTCTATAAATAAAATGAGCAGAGAAAAATACTTGCTACTTTTTAGTTGAAACTATAAATGAAAATAGGTAAAGGCACCAGGTTGTAAGTCCACAGTCTGCCTTCTGCAGTAGAGATAGCAAAAGAAATTTGTGCTCAACAGGCTCAACAGGGAAATGCCACTCAGGCAGGCTGACTAGTTCAGCATCCAGCCTGGCTCACCTTCAGTAGAAGAAATCATATATGAGTGTTTATGTTAGGGCATCAGCAACAACTTTTTTTCTGTAGTTAGTTAACTTAGGTACAATTTCTTCTACATTGCAAAAGTATGTTGAATGTTCATTTTAATAGGCTAAGACTGAAGATTTTTTAAAAAATAGTTACACCAGAATCACCAGGTTTTTACATTTGTTTTCCTAAATGAACTATGACATTCAGCAATTTCACTCATATCCCCATGGAAATCAAACTCTGCCATCTGTCCCAAATGCCCATTTTTATTTACCTTTACATAAAACTAAAAAAGTTGTCAAACATCTTTCAGCAAAGCAAAATAAAAAGAATTGACATGGTATACTTTAATCATGGGTCTAAAATTTTGTGCATGGATTCATAAATCACTTCTTTTCCTGCCTATCTTTCGTACCTTTTGGGTTTTCCTTTTACTTCTTCCCATTACAGGATCTCATAGGACATTCACAATCCATTGGACTCATAACTTACTGTGTTCCTCCTTAACACTGTAACAAGTTGACTTAAATGGAGCCATTTAAAATAGAGCTAGGGCAGCCATTCCAGAGGAACTGATTTGCATGTCTTTTCCCTCAAACCTTTGAAATGTTGGATCTGGGCAAAATAACTTCGGGGCTGAACCAAACCAACTTGTGTTTCAAACACAGTGTGTACAGCTAGCAGGAAAGCAGACATCCTCACTACAAGGACTGAAAACTGAGGGCAGTCTTTAGAATTAGTGCCACCATGTATAGCTAAAAATTAACCTACCTTATGAGCACCAATAGAAATTCCTTTCTTCTATTCAAGTAATTATTTCCTTTCCGTTACACAAACCCCTCACCTTCCCCCCATAAATTAGAACACTTTTGGGGTTTCTGCCAGAATCCGTGCTTCCCTAATAGTTATTCTTTGATCTCAAATAAATTTTTGTTGCCTCTCACTTTGACTTTTTATTTTTTAGGTAAACATCATCATATGTTCTTCTTCATTCCGGTTTTCTCACTTAGCCAGTACACTAGTAGTCCAAGTTATGGACACGTGTTCATGGAGTGTATCTCCAAAGTTATAAACCACACATTGTATTCGTCAAGGAATTCAAATAATCCTGGCAAACTCGACCCATAACTGCCCTCACCAAAATGAAACAAAAAATAAAACTCACTCCCTTTCTTAAGCTTCTAAAAACATTTTCATAGAAAGCTGACTTAGAAACATATTGCCACCCCTTTTTAACTGTACGGCCTTTTCATATCTAGATTCTTCATGTCTCACCATCTTTTTTTTTTTTTTTAACTATTTGCTGTGGGTAAATTCATCTTTCTCACATGATGTATGACGCACCGAATACGGTGTGCCTAAAGGAGATATATGAAAACAAGTAAAGGGTTTGGTAATCAATGTAAATTTTGTATCACATGCAATTTTGCAAGTACTGGTAACAAAAAAAAAACATTGTAAATGTCTTAAGTATTACAGATAGCTTATTGTAAGATTTCCGTGAGGCAGTAATGAAGATGGAAATCTCAACAAAACGTTAAAACCACCATACCTAAAGAGATTTCATACATATTCAAAAGACGGAAATAAAGTGAGAGGATTGCGAGAACCCAATCCAATCCAACAGGAGAGAGAGGAAAAAGGCCCAGGGAAAGAGTGGGTCGCCGCAGCGGCGGAGCAGTGAAAACAGCGCTCACGCATGCTCCGAACTCTCCCATCCCGCTCCGAGCCCAAGGCGGGACGCCGGGCCGCGCTCCAGACGCTCTTCCTCCGGACCTGGATCCTCCCACCAGCCCCTCGCTCCCGCCCGACTCCAAGGCCTAACCCCTCACCTCCTTCAAGTCTCTGCTCCCCGTCACCTTCTCACCGTGGCCTGTCTAAAAGCTCGCCCCCTCAAGTCCCTTCCCCACCTCTGAGTACCCCGCGTTTCCACTATTTAAGTTGGCCCCTCCTCGCCTTCGATTCAGGTTCCTTCGGACGCCCACCCGCCGCTCCGCTCCGCTCTGCCCCGCCCTAAGTCCCGCAGGAAAGGGGCGGGGCCGGCGCCGCGGCCGCCGAAAGGAGGGGCTCAGCCTTGTGCTCCGTCCATCCACGCAGCGGGCGGCGGCCGAACGCGCGCGAGGTTCGGTTCCACTCGCTCCGGAAGCGCGATTGCGGGCGGGGTCGCACGTGACCGTGACGTCAGCGCACCCGCGCCGCCGGCTGGACGCCAGGGTCTCTGCCTTGGCCCGGGCCCTTCGCGCCGCGTGGCCGTGTCCGCGGACTCGCCCCCCGGAGCCGGCCGGCAGCATGTACCACAACAGCAGCCAGAAGCGGCACTGGACCTTCGCCGGCGAGGAGCAGCTGGCGCGGCTGCGCGCCGACGCCAACCGCAAGTTCAAATGCAAAGCGGTGGCCAACGGGAAGGTGAGCACGCGTCGGCCGCCCCGCTCTCCGGGTCCGTGACGTCTCGGACCGCCGCGGGCTCCCCGCACACGCCCGCCTCCCCTCCCCTCCCCTCCCCTCCCTCCCTCCCTCCCGGCACGCGGGTGTCTATTTAAACTGGTTGCTGGGAGGGAGACGGGGAAAGCCACGCCCCGAGCCTGAGTGGCAGGCAACTAGCCAGTCGCGTGGCCAGGAGACGTGTAGGATGTCCACGTGGTGCGGGACCCGGGCCGGCCTTTCGCGGGTCGAGAGGGCGGGTCGGGGAGGGCTTCTCCCGGGACGGGTGTGGGGAAGTTGGGCGGAGGTGCTGCCGGCCGACCTCGCCGCGGGTGCGGGGCGGGCTCCAGGGATGCTGTGGGTCCTGGGTGTCGGAAGCTGAGCACTCCAGCAGGAAAGGCTGAACTAGGCAGGGAAGTTGTAGGAGGAAATAAAAGGAGTTTGAACTTTGTGATGAAGGGGCGGGGAACCTTTGTAAGATTTTAAATGGCGAATTAACCTATATTCTGTACTAGAAAGCCCTCCGGCGTCCTGGTGGTGGATGGGTCGGATGGGGCAGGTTGGAGGCAGGGAGACGAGAGAGCTAGCACACACCAGTTGACTTAAGAAGGTTTGGATTATGGTTTGCCATCCAAGCCCTCCCTGTTATTAGCTCCCAGACACTTCTGTTTAATCTTCCTCCACAAGCTCCAACACCCATCCTAGCACAGGCTTCCCTGCAGCAGGTATTCCACGTCTCAGACCTATTGTAACTGAGATACTGTGCTCTTACCTTTGTCACGTCTATCACATCACTTTATTTTGGGGCTGCTCAAAGTAGTACGTATTATGCTGTTTGCGAGGCACTTTTCTAAGCATTTGGAAGCGTTAGCCCTTTTGATCCTCACAGCTACCTCCTGCGGTGGATAGGTATTTTCCTGCCTTTATAGCTGGGGAAACTGCAGTACGGAGAGATTGAATCACTTTTCATGGCTGTATTACTAATAAGTGGCAGAGCCAAGGTTTGAACCCCATCTAGTTCTAGCATTCCCGCCCTAAAACACAATTACCTGCTCTCTCTATAAATTAACACTTGTATTAGTTTTCTAGGGCTGCCATTAAAAAAAAGACACATAAACTAGGTGGCTTAAAACAACAGAAATCTACTGTTTTCACGGTTCTGGAGGCTAGAAGTCTGAGATCAAGGTGTTAGCCCGTTGGTGCTCTCTGCCGCTTCTAGGAGAAGATTCTTCCTTTCTCTTCCAGCTTCTGGTAACCCCAGGTGTTCCTTTGCTCGTGGTACCATAACCCCAGTCTCTACCTTCATCTTCCCACAGTGTTGTTCCTGTGTTTCTGTATCTCCCCATGTTCTTATAAGAATATCAGTCATACTGGATTAGGAGCCACTCTACTACAGTATGACCTTACCTTACTTAATTACACCTGTAGAGGCCATATTTCCAAATAAGGTCACATTCTGAGGCACAGGCATACCTTGTTTTATTGAGTTTCACTTTATTGTGCTTCACAGATGTTGCATTTTTTACAAATTGAAGGCAAGACCCTCCACCTGCAAAAAGATTACTATTTGCTTTATTGTGGTGGTTTGGAACCGAACCCACAGTGTCTCAGAGGTATGCCTGTACCTGGGTGGTTAGGATTTCAATATATCTTTTATTTCGGTAGTTGTAATTAAACCGGTAACAGGACCTAAAGGATATGTGTTGTAAAATTGTATGTGGTCTATTCTATAGAGAGTTTACTAAGATAGATGAGAGGTAATACCAAAGTGAGAATTATCCTTGAGACACTTGATTTTTTTTATCTCAACCTGTGTGACTTAATGATTGACTGATATAGTGGTTTTGCATACTTTGCAAATATTAACAGTGTGTATCTCCGTTTTGATTTCTAAATAATGACATTATACCTGTGAGTATATTTGTACACTCCGTCAGGATTGCTTATACCTTAATGAAGCAAATGTCCAGCTGACATTCTGCAAAACTGTGAAATGATGATCTAGTTTTAGTTTATTGAGTATTTTCCTAAAGCTGCTTTACGCAATATTTGGCCCTATTTTAGCAATAAAGAGAAAGTTATGTGTGGTATATTTCCCCTTGGCTGAAGATAGAAAAGTAATCTGGACAGAGAAAAAGATTTTAAGATGATTTAAGTTACTGAACTTTTGTTGTAACTTTTGATCTAAAGGTTCTTCCAAATGATCCAGTCTTTCTTGAGCCTCATGAAGAAATGACTCTCTGCAAATACTATGAGAAAAGATTACTGGAATTTTGTTCAGTGTTTAAACCAGCAATGCCGAGGTCTGTGGTGGTAAGTTATGGTAGTGATGAAGGAAAATGCCCTTCAGCTGACTTCTGAAGTATGACCTCTTCTAAATTTGTAATTCAGTCCTGTATCCACTTCATTCAGGGATGTAGCCTAGATATATAAATATATAATTTATGTATTTTAAGTTTTTGTCACATACTGCTTTTCAATAACTGTCTTAAATTATGAATTCCTATATCATATCTTATAAAGTGTTTCAAGACTCATTTCATAGTCGGAAGAATTGTGAGGTCTGCTAGATAGGCCATGATATCCTTGTTTTATAATGAAAGAAAAAATTATTTTTTCTCCAGGTTCTCAGTTGATGAGTAGAACTGGGACCAGAACATAGAGTAGTGCTTTTTCAGCTGTATCACACATGTTTTAAATAATGCATTCATTCATCATTTGTAATCATATGAACATGTGCTTTTTTTCTTTTCGCGGTGGGTAGGGAAAGGCAGCAAAGGGTCTTTGGCTGTGATGTTTCTATAGTATTTCATCACAGTTTATTTTGATGAAGAAGAATTAAGTTTTGGTACTTTGTATGAATAACATTTTCAAAGAAACGTTTTTTTATTTATTGAGATAACATTGGTTAATAAGATCATATAGGTTTCAGATGTACATTTCTATGATACATGATCCGTAAATTGCATTGTGTGCCCACCACCCAAAGTCAGATCATATTCCATCACCATATATTTGACCCCCATAACCACCCCCATAACCACTGTACTGTTGTCTGAGTTTCAGTTTTATATCCTGCATATGAGTGAAATCGTATGCTTCTTAGCTTTTTCTGACTGCCTTGTTTTGCTTAGCATCGTGTTTTGAAGGTCTATCATGTCATTGCAAATGGTGGAATTTCATGTTTTCTTATGGCTGAGTAGTATTGCATTGTAGATATGTACCTCATCTTCTTTATCCAATCCTTTACTGAAGGATACTTTGGTGTTTTCATTTCTTGGCCACAATGAATAATGCTGCAGTGAACATAGGGGTGCATATATCTTTGGAAATAAATTTTTTTTGAAGAAACTTTTGATAAATAAGTTTTAGTTTTTAAATTAAAGTTAACATGCATGTGTGAATAGATTCTGATAATATGTATTTTTTTTTTAACCTTAGGGTACAGCCTGCATGTATTTCAAGCGTTTTTATCTTAATAACTCAGTAATGGAATACCACCCACGGATAATAATGTGAGTATAAATCTAATTTATTGATTTTTATTTAAGAGGACCTTCATACTACGTGTGTGTGTGTGTGTGTGTGTGTGTGTGTGTGTGTGAAAATGACTTCCTAGTAAAAGGTAATTTAGACTCGCATTCTATTCTGTACTTAAGATCCCTGAATATACTCCTTACATACCTGTAATACTTCCCTGTAATACTAATAGCATCTGAACTTTAGCTTGTACAAATTCAAGTAGTGTTTTTTTTTTTTCAAGCTGGCTTCCCTAATGCCCCTTTCTTCTCCCATTGCTGAGTGAGAATCACTAGTGGTACCTCCTCCCCTGCATCCAGCCAGGTTACAAATTCTGTAGGTCCATATTAATTTCAATTGAACAAAGGTCTTTGTGTTTCTGCCCTCCGATGAGCACTCTGCTTATCATTGAAGATAAAATTGAAAATAGTAGGAGGCTCATGAAAGAGCTTACTGTCGATCACATTGTCCCTATTTGCTTTTTCCACTTTTCATCCTCATTTCTATCCATTTTGGTCAGGTCCTTGTTACTTCCAATCTTGATTTTTGTAGTAATTTTATTACTAGCATCTCATTCTGAAATTTATGTAGTAGCGATGAGTTTCTTAGGTTTGTTTGTGCATTAGTAATCCCCTATTCAGATGTTCTTAGAGACTTCCACTGACAGGTCTTTCACAGAGGTACTTCTATAACCTATGTTTCATCCCATGCTCATGTGGTACATATGTGTGTGCTGTTGCATTTTTTTTCTCTTCCATCTATATTTCATGTTTCAAAGTACTCCTGTTTCTCAGTTATTTTGTTCTTCCAGATTTCAGGTTGAACACTGTGAAACTGCCATTAAATCATTAATGTTGAATGCTGCTATAGTATTACACGGTTCAACCTAATTTTAGCGTTTTTTTGGCTTAAAAGTTTGAACAGGAAACTGTCTCTCCTCTCTCTTTTTAAAACATATCCTGTGATGTCTGCTATAGTCACTTGTGAATATTAGGTAATTTTAGAATGTACTTTTAGAAATAAAATATTTAGATATTTTTCAAAGTGTATATATATATCCCTAGTTCTGTGTGTATGAGAGAAAATTACTTCCTAGTAAAGGGTAATTTAGACTTACATTCTATTGTGAATTTAAGATTCCTCACTATATTCCTTATATTTTCTACTAGGCTCACGTGCGCATTTTTGGCCTGCAAAGTAGATGAATTCAATGTATCTAGTCCACAGTTTGTTGGAAATCTGCGGGAGAGTCCTCTTGGACAGGAGAAGGCACTTGAACAGATTTTGGAGTATGAACTGCTACTTATACAGCAACTTAATTTCCACCTTATTGTTCACAATCCTTATAGACCATTTGAGGGCTTTCTCATTGACCTAAAGGTAATTTTGTTGCTATAAAGTAAACTAGTAGAGTGTACTCCTTTGCTGTCATACTGTAACCAAAGGAATTAAAAATTAAAACTTTTAGTTAACTGTTACAACATGGTCTCAGCTAAAACTTGAGTGCTCCCAGGTATTCTGGGGCAATGATCCTGTTTCATTGTGCAGCAGAAGCACCTGGAGAGCTTGGTAACTCAGTGTTGGGCTGCAATTCCAGAGCTTCTGATTTAGTAGATGGCAAATACTGATCCAGGGGTCATAATGAGGACCACTGTGAGTTTAGAATAATGTTTTTAAAAACTTAAAATGTCTCATAACTCTGAAGTGACTTCATAGATCTGACTTAAAGAACCATAAAAAAATTCTTAATTTTAAACAGGATTACTAAGTGACTTCTAGTTTTAGCACATTGTGAACTGAAATAAGTATGTAGGCATAAAAAATGTAAGTAAATAAGTATCGGCAAAAGCAACTTTTAAGTTATTTTGTTTTGACCCTGAAAAAGGACTTGGATTATCTGAGTAAAGCCAGACAGGAATCAGAAACTGGTTCAGTCATCTCAGTTGAAAGGTGAAATTTGGGTACATACTGGATGCCAAACATTGTGCCCGATGATAATGCCATGAACAAAACAGGAACAGCCCCAGCTTTTCTACACCTACAGTGTAATGGGAAGGAGGATTATTTATTCAGATGCTCAGTATTACAGAGAGGGAAATACAGGATACTTTAAAAGAAGATAGCATATTGAAGGGAAGGGAAGACAGTTCTGAGAAGGTGCCATTTAAAGTGAAATTCACACCAAGAGTGGGAATTTGGTGGTGAAAGAGCATCCCAGTAGGACTTCTCTGGCCAGATTCAAAAACGATGGTGCACTAAAGAACCTAAATAGCCTAGAAATGTAGGGGAAGACTGCCACAGAATGCAGCCTGAGTGGAAGGCAGCACCTAGTAGAAGTGATGTTATGGATTTTGAACAGAGCAGTGGTAAGCCAGGAAAAGGTTTAAATCTGGAGAGTGGCAAATTAGGTTTACACCTTTTAAAAAGTTGTGTTTTCAAGCTCACACATCAGTCTCCATCAAGTATTTATTGCATATCTGTATGTGTCACAGTGATGTGGAGAATGGATACAAGGATACCATTACTATGCTTTTAGTTTCACTCATGTAGCAACAGGGGGTCCAGAAGGAGTTTCTTGGACTTAAGAGCTAGTAGGCAGCATCAATAGAGCTTGAGGTTTCATTGCATATAGAGAGTGAGGACCAGTGAGGAGCCTTTGGGTTTCTGGCTTGAGCAGGTGGTGGTATACTTTCTGATATAGGAAGTACTGGCCCAAGAGAAATTTGTGGATGGTGGAGGGGTAGAGGGTTGATGAATTTGGTTTGGAACATGGTAAATTTTCATTGCCTGCAACACACCCAGGTGGGGAGTCATTTGTATCTGGAGGTCAGAGAAGATGGCTATGTGTGGGCATCATCACCCCAGGAAAATTTAGAATGGGTTGGCCATGAGGACTATTGAAAGGGTAGGGGGAGAAATATAAGAATCTAGTAAGAAGGGTGAAGAATATCCAGAGAGGTAGGACTTTCTAAAGAAGTGGAGTAGAGAATTTAGGAGAGCACGGGCAACTCCCCACCTCCTCTCAGAATTTAGGTGGAGTAAAAGTAGATGGATAACATTTGCCAGATTCAGTGCCTGAAAGGTCATTTGTGATCTTGGTGAAATTAGTCTCTGTGGAGTATGAAGGAAGAAGGCAAATTAGAGCCATTTGGGGAATAAATAGAAAGTGAGGAAACATATATGTAACTTGGATTAAACAGCTTGTCTTTGAAGTGGGGAAAGATGGGATTACTGAGAAGATGGAAGTGCTAGAAATAAACAAAAGGGACTTTTGTGCAAGAAACTGATGTGGGGAGCTGGTAGTAAGGGAAAGCTTAAAGGGGAAAGTGGAAAATACGGAGCTCAAGTTTCTCTTTGGAGTAAGGTAGACGATTGCCTTGAGCATAACAGCTTTTAAGGCAGGAAAAGAGGAGAGTATGGGTGAAGATAATGTTATGCCTGGGGATTTGGTGGTGGCAGGAAATGGAGTGTTGTTCTTTGTCAGGAACAGAGATCATTTCTGAGAATGGTGGAGTTTCTGAGCATTATTAAAGACATTGAGAGAGATGGAAATGTTTAACTTAGTCACTGAAAAATAGAACAAATTTTGTATGGAACATTATAGTGTTGAAAGCCCTACTAAGATCAGGGAACCTAATTTGTAATAATAATACCAGACCTACTAGTTGTATTGTTTCCTCTAGCAGAGCTCAGAAATCTGGGTGTAGTTGCAAAGAAGGTTTGCTGAATTCACCTATTGTTGAAGTTTAGCCAGAAACATGTTGGCAACATATCAGGGCAGGGAGTTCGGGAGGGAGATAAGGACGGTAGGACATAGGTGAGCTAGAGTAAATGGAGGAATAAGGGACTGAAGGTTCTAAGGAGAACCAAAGAATAGCCATGAAATAATTGAGCAAATGTATTGGGAAAAGGAGCACTGTGGTCAGAGTGGAATGTCTGAATTTATTGTATCTGAGGTCAGGCGTTTTGGGATGATGACAAGACCTGCATGTGACTGCACAATTATATCTGATATTTTGTTTCAGATTATATTGTGGAAAAGATTTCTTACTACTTCAGGACCTGAGTGTGGATAGCTATACTAAATCCAAGGATTTAGGCCTCATCTTAAAGTGTAAGAATTGTCAGAAAATATGGAAATTTCCATATTTCTTAGGCATATTGTAAAAATAATTCTGTAATCAAACTAAGATTAATTTCCATTTGCTTTTTCTCAAAAATAGATTTAAATAGAGGAATTTCCAATTGAAATGAACATGTGCTTTGCTTCCTAAATGTTGTCTTACATCTGAATCACCTGGCTTGTCTGGGTGTGTTTACCTGGGAGTGTATATTTCTCAGGTTAGCTTCAGACCCAGTTGAATTTCTGAGAGTCTCCTTTCCCCTTACTCAAAAGATCAAAGAGAGGGATTCACATAAATCAGAATAGCCACGTACTATGCTGAAACTTGAGATATATTATCTTAAAGCATATATAAGCATATATTATATGGTGACCTCACTTTCAGTACATTCTAATGGTGAGTACAGAATAATCTTACATGTAAAGATCGTTGTTGCTGCAGTGTTGAAAAGAAGTTACTTTTACAAAAGCACCAGGTGGTGCTTATTGGTGGTTAAAACAGATATTTTGAACTGTTGTTACTCCATTAAACTCTCATAAATAATAACATTTGCAAACTTTCTCTCTAGACCCGCTATCCTATGTTGGAGAATCCAGAGATTTTGAGGAAAACAGCTGATGACTTTCTTAATAGAGTTGCACTGACGGATGCTTACCTTTTATACACACCTTCTCAGATCGCCCTGACTGCTATTTTGTCTAGTGCATCCAGAGCAGGAATTACTATGGAAAGGTATTGATTTGTGTTTTGACTTAGATCACTTGGTCACTCAATTTATTTCTTCCCGGAGTCTGAGTCTCAGATCACTTAGTCACTCAATTTATTTCCTCCTGGAGTCCAGATATAAAGGACTATACTCACTTTTGTGAATATAGTCCTTTGTATCTCCTATGGCTGGAAAGGTTGGGGCAACTGAGGGAAGAAATGAAATCACCTTTTAAGGAAATCTTTAAAAATTGGGGATGATATTTTCAAGCTAAGAGGGTCTATTTATGACTAAAGTAGAAGTAAATTAGTTTATCCTCAAAAGACTGATATAGTTATGACTACACGGCAAATTCAGAAATTTTATGAACTGGTAAGCAACATGAGTGCACAAAATTGTCTGCTTGTTTTATTCTCCTGCTATGGAGCATGTGTGGCACCTGGAATTCAGTAAAGTTTTTATTGGCTGAATAATGTCCAAATGAAAATAGCTGTAAATAGCAATAGTTAACACACAAATGGACACTGAGAATGAGGTTCTGTGATAAGCACTTTACCTCAGTTTAATTCACTTGATTCTTATAGCAGTACCTTGAGTACAGATTAATTATTATAACTATTATATTTATTTATAACTTGAGCACAGTCTGGCAGCAAATTGGACTTTATATTTTTATATTTTTTGAGACCTTTGAGTTCTGCTTGATTTTATTCCTTGAAATAGCTGAGGAAGTGTTCTACATGTTTGTCATCCCTCATCCGTAACTTCAAAATCCATTTGTATGGGGGCAGCAAACATGAGCAGATATGATTTAGTCCACTCAACTTAATGGGAATATGCTTTCTTGTGGAATATCACTGTGTACTGCTAATGACAGGGTGCTGCCCCGGGCATCACTGTGGTGCTGTTTGCACTCGGGTGTGTGCGCCGGGTTACCTTTGCAAGACATGAACAGTTCTGACTTCAAACAAATCAAGGTAAGGATTTGCAGGCTTGTATCTTGTTTAATTTCTGGTATGCTTCTACAAATAGAGCTAACCAATTGTATATAAAAATACACATTTAATCCCAAAATGATACCTATCTAATTTCTAAGCAAGCCTTTATTGAATGCCTTCTGTGTACCATGCACTGTACTACACTTTAGGAATATAATAATTAACAAGCTGTAAATCCTTGCCCTAGTTGAAAAAGATAGTCATACAAATAACCTGGAGTTCAGGTGTGAGGCTTCCAGTCTGTAAGGGAAGAAAGCCTCTTTTCCCCAATTCAAATAACAAATGAATATGTTTAAATATCGGATCTATACAGTGTAAATGCAGATTATTCAGGAGTAAAATTTTTTCTTAGAGGATTTCGTTGATGGTTTCCTTTTCTGTGCAAAAGCTTTTCAGTTTGAAGTAGTTCCATTTGTTTACTTTTTCTTTTGTTTCCCTTGCCTGAGGAGATTTACTAAAAGCAATGTACAAGAGTTTACTGGTGATGTTTTCATCTAGGAGTTTTATGGTTTTGGGTCTTACATTTTAGTCCACCTCATTTTGAGTTTGTTCTTGTATATGGTGTAAGAAAGTGGTCTACTTTTATTTTCATTTGCATGTAATATCTGTCCAGTTTTCTCAACACCGTTTATTGAAGAGACTCTCTACCCTATTGTATGTTTTTGTCTTCTTTTGTCATAGATTAATTGACCATATAGGTGTGGGCTTATTTCTGGACTGTGTTCTGTGCCATTGACCTACACATCTGCTTTTGTGCCAGTACATTGCTGTTTCATTACAGCCTTGTATATATAGTTTGATATCAGGTAGCGTGCTACTTACAACTTTGTAGTTCTTTGTCAAGATTACTTGGCTATTTGGGATTTTAAATAGAATTACATGAATTAAGGATTAATTTGGAAGATTTTATGTTTCCAGGAGTTTATTCATTTCTTCAAGGTTGTCCAGTTTGTTGGCATGTAATTATAATACTTTCTTATAGTCCTATGTATTTCTGTGCTGTCAGTCATCACTTCTCTTTCATTTCTGATTTTATTTCCTTTGGTTTTCTTCTTAATGAGTCTGGTTAAATGTTTATCAATTTTCTTTAAAGAAAACAGCTCTTGGTTTTATTGATCTTTTATGTATTTTTAGACTCTATTTTACTTTGGCTCTGATCTTTATTTCCTTCTACTCTCATTAGGCTTTGTTTTTCTTTTTCTGGTTCCTTTAGGTGCAAGGTTATATTGTTGAGATTTACTTGTTTCTTCAGGTCTATATTACCATGAATTTCCCTCTTAGAACTATATTCCGTACATTTTGGGTTGTTACATTTTCATTTTGTTTCAAGGTATCTTTTGATTTCTTCCTTGACCTCATCGTTTAGTAATTTCTTAGCGTCCATGTGTTTGTGTTTTTTCAATTTTCTTCTTGTAATTGATTTCTAGTTTCATAACATAATGATTAGGAAGATACATGATAAAATTCCAGTCTTAAATTTTTTAAGACTTGCTTTGTAGCCTAATCATGTCATTGATCCTGGGAAATGTTTCAGTTGTACTTGAAAAAAATGCATGTTCTGTTTCTTTTGAGTGAAATGTTCTAAAAATATCAAATACAGTGGTACCCTGGTTCTTGTCCATTAACTTGTTCCTGAACTTGTGGCGAGTGCCAAAACCCACAAATACCAAGCAGGCCACAAATGATGAAGCATTCGCTCCTGTGGGGCAGCGTCATGACTCAGACAAGTTCTAGCAAGTGTGATGAGTCTCACGTGAGTGCCAAGTGCTAAAACTTTTTTTTTTTTCCCATTAAAATGGAACAAGTATAGGGTTTGGTGACTTCTGAAGCCCACGAGTACTGAGGTGTGGCTCTACATGCATCTGGTCTAATATTTCATTTAAGGTCACTGTTTCCTTGTACATTTGCTGTCTGAATCATCTAGCTGTTGATATTAACGAGGTGTTAAATTTCCCTACTATTACTGCTCTAATGTTTGTTTATCCCTTTATGTCCATCAATATTTGCTTTAAAATTTTTTTTTAAGATTTTATTTTGGGAGAGGGGGAGGGAGGAAGAGAGAAACAATGATATGTGAGAGATACATCCATCTGTTGCTTCTTGCACACCCCCAACAAAGGACCCGCCCACAACCCAGTCATGTACCCTGACTGGAAATTGAACTGGCAGCCTTTCTGTTTGCAGGCTAGCGCTCAGTCCACTGAGCCACACCAGCCAGGGCAATATTTACTTTATATGTTTAGATGCTCCTACATTGGGTGTGTAAATTTTTACAATGGTTATTATATGTCCTCTTCTTGGATTGTTGCCTTTATCATTATGAAATGTCCTTTGTCTCATGTTATATATAGCCTTTGTTATATATAAAGTCTATCTTGTTTGATATAAATATTGCTACCCCACATTTTTTGTTTGTTTCTATTTGCATGAAATATCTTTATACCCATGAAATATCTTTATACCCATCCCTTTACTTTCAGTCTGTGTGTGTCTTTCAACTGAAGTAGGCAGTGGATGTATGGGTCCTGTTTTGTAATCCATTCAAACACCCTATGTCTTTTGATTGGAGCATGTGTTCCCATGTACATTTAAAGTAATTATTGATAAGTATATTGCCATTTTATTGTTCTCTGATTGTTTTTGTAGTCTTGTCCTCTTGCTCTCTTGTGTGTTGATGATTTTCTGTAGTTTTGTGTTAGATTCTTTTTGCTTCATTTATTATATATCTCTTGTAGATTTTTAATTTGTGGTTACCATGCGCCTCATGTATACCAAGCTGTGTTTAAAGCAGTCTATTTTAAGTTGATGGTTGCCTAAGTTTGAACACAATCTATAAACACTCCCATTTTAATTCACTCCTTCCATATATATATTTTTTATTTGATTTTGAGAGAGAAAGAAAAAAACATTGATTTGTTGTTACACTTATTTAAGCATTCATTGGTTGATTCTTGCATGTGCCCTGACCAGGAACTGAACCCACAACCTTGCTGTATCAGGACAACACTTGAACCAAGTGAACTACCTGGCCAGGCAGGGCTCGTGTTTGGGTTTGTCATTATTTTTTACTACTTTTATGTGTGTCTGTTAGTGTGTATTCTTTGATTTCCTGTTATAATTACTCATGATCTTACTACTTTTGTTTTTTAACCTTTATGCCAGGTTTTTATTTGGTTGACCCACTGCTTTTATTGTGCTTATCTTCATCAGAGTTTTGTTTTTCTTTGCTATATTTTCTTATTCATATTTTTTCCTCTTTCTTAAGAATTCCCTTTAACATTCCTTGTAATACTTGTTTAGTGTTGATGAACTCCTTTATCTTGTCTGGAAAACTCTCTTTTCTTCAAGTGGAGTAATACTGGTTGTAAGTCCTTGCTTCATCATTTTGAATTATTTTTTGGCAATCCCTCTGGCCTGCAGTTTATGTTGAGAAATAGGCTGACAATCTTGTGGGAGCTCTCTTATACATGACTGTCTGCTCTTTTCTTGTTACTTTTAGGATTCTGTCTTTGTCTTTTTTACTTTGGGCATTTTAATTATGATCTTTCTTGATGTGGGCCTCTTTGAGTTCATCTTGTTTGGTTCTCTGTGCACTTCCTGGATTCGTATGTCTCTTACCTTCACCAGGTTTGAAAGTTTTCCGTCATCATTTCTTCAAACAAATTCTCAGTTCCTTGTTCTTACTTTTCTTGTTCTGGTACCCCAATGATACAAGCAGTGTAAGGTTGGTGTTGATCCAGCAGTTCCTTAAACTATCCTCACTTTTTTTTCTTTTTGCTGTTCTGATTATTTTGCTACCCACTCTAACTGATCACTGATTTGATGCTTTGCTTTATCTAATCTGCTGTTGATTCCATCGAATGAATTTTTTCTTTCTGTTACTGTATTCTAAATTTCTGACTGGTTCTTTTTTATGGTTTCTCTTTGTGTATATTTTTCATCCCTTTACTTTTAGTTTATATGTATCTTTCAATCTGAAGTAAGTCTCTTATAGACAGCACATGTAAAGGGTCTTGTTTTCATAACCATTCAGCCATCCATTCAGTCTTTTGATTGAAGCGTTTAAAGTAATTATTTATAAATATGTATTTATTACCATTTTATTCATATTTCTTTATTTCCTTCTTAAAGAAAGACCCTTTAACATTTCTTGTAATAATGGCTTGATTGTGATGAACTCCTTTAGCTTTTTCTTGTCTGGGAAGCTCTGTATCTGCAGTTCCATTCTAAATATAGTTTTACTGGGCAGAATAATCTTGGTTGTAGGTCCTTGTTTTTCTTCAGTTTGAAAAATTTGTGTCAGTCCCTTCTGGCCTACAAAAGTTTCTGTTGATAAACTGGCTGCCAGTCTGTGGGAGCTCCCTTGTAGTTCACTAACTGCTTTCCTTTTGCTGCCTTTAAGATTCTCTTTGTCTTTAACCTGTTGCATTTTAATTACGATGTGTCTTAGTGTGGGCCTCTTTGGGTTCATCTTGTGTGGGACTCTGCACTTCCTGGACTTTGTGTTGTTGTTTTTTTTTCCTTCACCAAATAAGGGAAGTTTTCAGTCATTATTTCTTTAAATAGGTTCTCAGTCCCATGCTCTCTCTTTTCTCTTCTGGTACCCTAAGATGCGGATTTTGTTACACTTCACGTTGTCCCAGAGGTCCTTTAAACTTTCCTCATTTTTTAAAATTATTTTTCCTTTCTGCTGTTCTGAATGTATGTTTTCTGCTACCTTGTCTTCCCAGTTGTTGCCTCGATCCTCTGCTTTGTCTGATTTGCTGTTGATTCCTTCTAGTGTATTCTTCGTTTCAGTTGTTGTCTTCATTTATGACTGGCTCTTTTTTATTATTTCTATATACTTTTTTATTTTTTTTGAAGTTCTCCCTATGTTCCTTGGGTATCTTTATAACCATTGTTTTGAACTCTGTATCTGGTACTTTGCTTGTCCTCATTTCATTTAATTCCTTTTTCTGGAGATTTCTTCCATCCATTTATTTGGGACATGTTTGTCTTGCCATTTTGGCTGCTTCTCTGTGTTTCAATGAATTTAGGTAGATGTGCAGTGCCTTGAAGTGTTGGTATGGTAGCCTTAAGTAGTAGGTGTCCTGAGGGCCCAGTTGCTCAGCCTATCAAGTTACCTGAGCTGGGCACTCCAGGTGTGTCCCCCTTCACCCCCTGTGTGAGCTCTGTGTACCCTCTTGTTGAACCTTGATTGCTGTTCATGAATGGGAGGGATCAACCCTCAAGGCAGTTGACAACTAGAGTAGTGGAGGTGCTGTGCAAGGCCTGACCCTGCAGAGCAGAAATTGATTCAGCATGGCTCTGTTTGAGTCCGAGTCTGCCCCTTGAGTGTGCCACTCATGGAGTGCTCAGGTGGAACTCCATCATGGTCTGAAGCTGTGTGCACTGCTTCTGGGGCCTCCCAAGAGGTGCAGGCCAAGGTAAGCCACCATCTGTGCTCTTCCCATGGCCACCCAGCATGGGCTACAAAGTGACCTGTAGATGGCTGCTACTCAAGCAGGGCTGGAGTTGCCCAGGAGAGGCCAGGCTGTGAACCGAGTCCTGTTGTCACTGGTGCCAAGCCTGGGGCTACTTAGCAGGAGATATGTGGCACATTGAGGCCAGATGTTGCTTGTTTGAGGTTTGTGAACCTTGAGAGAATATAGGAAAGTCCACGGCATGAACCAAAACAGTATTTGTATGGATAACCTACTAGAAGTGTCTTGGGCCCACAAGTTGGGTGGGATGGGGTATCAGGAAATTTCAAGGGTAGGGTGGACAATGTTAGGTTAATGTTAGACTCAGATCTTATGCTTATCTGCATCTCCAAGGGGAAGGCTCAGCAAAGGAACAATGGCCTCTGCCAGCACTTGTCTGGGAAAAAGCTGCTCCTCCAGCCTTCATCCCAAAGCCAGACAGTTCCTCCCTGAATGTCCCTGGTGCCTTTTGAGCTGCTCTACCAGCACTGGGGCTCACAGTGAGTCTGAGTAAGTCCATGCAGAAGGCTCCTTAGGAGGATCACGTGAATTCTAGAAGCTCTCCATTTTACTCAGCTGTAGTCTGCAAGTTTTCACAACCAGAATGGGGTCTTCCCTTTCTAGCACTAGAACCCTGGGGTAGGGATCCTGGTGTGGGGCTGGGACTCCTCACTCCTCAGGGGGGAGCGCCATAGCTGAAGTATCCCTTGTGATTTTTAACCACCATATGTGGGTATGGGATCAGCCCATTATGAATCTCTGCCCCTTCTGCTTGTCTTAATAGTGGCTTCTTTATATCCTTATTTATAGGACCTATATTCAGCTAGATTTCACATGGTTCCCAATGATGGTTGTCCTATAGTTATCATTTTTATGTAGTTGTGGGAGGATGCAAGTACTGTGTTTACCTATTCCTCCATCTTGAATGGAAACCTCCCTTCTATTTAATCTCCACACATGGGTGATGGACCAGCCCATTTTGTGCCTCTGACTCTTTTACCAGTCTTGACATGGCTTCCTCTATCCTTGGTTAGTGCAGTTCTGTTCACCTAGTTTTCAGATGGTTTTCTATGATGGCTCTATGATTTTGTTGTAGTTTTGATATAGCTGTTGGAGGTAAGCACAATGTCTACCTACTCCACCATCCCGAATGGAGGCAAGTAGGATGTTGCTTTTACATCATTGCTGATTTCAAAAAGGGAGAGCCCTTGTGCTGCTGTGATATTCTGGATGATGCTTTAGATCATTAGTTATAGGATGTTCTGTTGTCAGTTCTGGGGTTTCTTCTTTTTCATTGAATTTAGAGTTTCATTTGTTTCCTCATTTGACTTCTTTTAGATATTCTTGCTTGCCTATTTTTTTAAATCAGAATATTAAAATCTAATCAGGATTTAGATTAAAAGTTGCTAACTTGAAAATGTTTCACAGAGTTGAAGAATGTCTGAATCTGACTCTTAGAACCAAATGCATTGCTTTTATGCTTAAAAAGGAGTTTTAGGAGAAAAAAGGGAAAAGAAAAATGAATTGTTATTTTGAGTTACTAGTAGCCAGAAATGTATTACTGGTTAAAGGAGTTATTGATTTCCATATCTGAAGTTAATTCCCATAACAGATGATGAAGATCTATTAGTTTAAAATTTGCTGTATAACTTATCTTTATAGTTTAAAAACACATAGCAACACAGTTTCTTAAAGAACTGTCTATTTCTGTAACTTTAGTTTGCCCAAGAGAAACATTATTTTTTGCAGTCATGTTTGAAATATTACATGTCTTGAGAATCTTTTCACTTGGGCTGTTATCAATTATTGATCAAGTTCAGATATATAAAGTCTCAGAATAAACATTTCAACGTAAAAATGATACTTTCATATTACTGTCATTGCTTCTGAGAATGGATAATTGGGTTTTAAATCCATTTATTAAAAAGTATTATCACCTTTGATTTGGACTTGATGCAAATAAGACATAACAGAATTGTAAGGCATGGGGAAGGGTTGATACTCTTAATCGTTTGAATAGCTGTTAGTCCAAGAAGAATAACTATAATTGGCAGAGACTTGGTATTAAGGAGGAAGAATCCTTACCAATGCCAGGCTCCTGCTCTGTTATTTTTCGCTTTGTGACTTTGGGCAAGTTATATGCTCATGACTTGTCTGTCCCTGATGCTCAGATTCCTCATCTGTAAAATGAGGTTCAGACTCATAAAGTTTATACATTAAACACTTACCATTAAAAGAAATGACTGTTGCTATTATTAATTTCACACCTCTAAAAGCTTATATATTACAGGCACTAAATGAACTTTGAAAGTTAAACATCTTATAAGTTGTAAATCTGTAAGACTATAAGAGCTTATGGGTTATAGTTGTATAGAGTTCAAATTATTGTTTTTTAATACTTTGTAAATAAATTAATTTTAAAATTGACCTGGGTGATGAAATGAACATGGAGGAGAATAATTTGTCAGGTTTTCTCAAGAGGTTATAGGTCTCCAATAGATTAAAACTTTCTTCCTTTTTTACCAGTTACTTATCAGAAACTCTGATGCTAAAAGAGAACAGAACTTGCTTGTCACAGTTACTAGATACAATGAAAAGTAAGTAAAAGAATACTTTATAAAATGTTTTTATAACTAAGCTACTTTGTAAAATATCATCTTGATTTTTAACTTGAGATAACAGATTGTTGTTTATACTTACTTCCATTGAATTATGGTATCTTGAAACCATGAAGGATGTATTGGTGGGGAACAAATAAAAGGTACATGAAAAGACAGAATTTTACACATACAGAAGTTAAAGTAAAAATATAATCACGTTTAGAAAGAGTTTGAGTTTCAAAACAGGGTTCTTTTAAAATGTACACAAATATGTGATAGGCACTGGAAAAGTTCTAAAGGGAACTAAAGAATATAAATTTGGAATTATCTGTTTTGTAGCTAAATCAGCTTTAACTAGTGAACATGTGTCACTTGCTGATCATTTTGTCAGTTAATATTACAAAAACTGTGGTTCTCAACTGGGTGCAGTTTTTGCAATATCTCTCAATATTTTTGGCTGTCACAACTTGGGAATTGGTGGTGGCCACTACTACCATGTAGTGAGTGGTAGTAAGAATGTCACTAAGTATCTTAGATTCACAGTATACCCCTTTGGCAAGCTGAAAAATGGCTTCCCAAAAGATAGCCCTGTCCTAATCCCTGGAACCTATAAATTTTATTTACATAGGTGGGGGAGGTAGTTTTTTTGGAGATGTGATAAAGGATCTTGAGGGGGGGAGATTATCACAGATTAGCCAGGTAGGGTCTAAATGCAATCACTGGGATACTTATCACAATAACAGAAAGGCAGAGGAGGGAGGTTTGACTCAGAGAAGACAATATGAAGACATCAGAGAGAGATTTGAAGATGCCAGCCTTGAAAACTGGAGTGATATGGCCACCAGCTGCCACCAGAAGCTGAAAAAAGGGAGGAATGATTTCCCCCTAGGACCTCCAGAGAGAGGGTAGCCAGGCCAGCATTTTGATTGTGGCCTAGTGAAATTGATTTCAGACTCCTTGGCTTCAGAAGCAAGAGAAAGTGCATTTCTGTTGTCTTGAGCCTTACTGTTTGTGGTAATTTTTAATAGCCTCAGAAAAATAATGCAGCCCCTTAAAACAAAGAATTGCCCAGCTCAGACTATCAGTAGTGCTGATGTTGAGAAACCCTGTTTGAGGGGTTGTGTAAAACCTCCACTTAATGATCGGTTAGATTAGCCAGCCCTATTATTCTTGCCTGCTACATAGAATGCTCATGGCTACTTGGCTACTCTACAATAAAGTCAATTGTGTTTGTCCCCGAAACTTTTTGTGCCAGTATTCCTGTTAAACTTGCAGTTAAATGCTGAAAAAAACAATAAAATAATGAGATTGAAGATCTTGATCTTAGATGATAGTAGTAAATGGGTGTAATTTTTATGTTTTCAAAGTTAAGATGCTTCAGGGCATATAGAAGCATCATTTCTTGATAATGGTTTAAAATGATCTTGAGGGCTTTTCCCTTTTAATTGAGTGATGTATTTGTGATTTATGAATCATAAAACTGTAGGTCTTCAGTTATACGACTCAGAAGGCTCAGCTCCAAAGCTAACTATGATTTAGCCAGTTGATGAGGATCGTGGAATTTATTAGGTAGAATGGGCCTTAAAGATAACCTACTGTGATCATTTCATAGCTGACAGTTTTATTACTGATTTCTTTTCAGCACCTTAATTTTACTCCACTTAACATGAAGAATAGCTCTTGCTAAAATACTCAGAGCTTTAACAATATTAAGGTATCTTACTCATAATTTTTCAGAACAAAGATACTGCCCTAAGAGTGTTGAGTCACAAGTGTTATTTGAATTGAAAACATTGCTTTATTTGCATTATGAAATGTCAGTGAAATACTCCTTTAGAGCACGTGGCTGGCTAATAAGCCCTAGATCTCTCATCATTCCCCTGACAAATCTTGAGATTTATATTCTTTGGTTTATTGCCATTGAATAAACAGTTCAGGTAGAGGGTGTTTCTGCAGTTAGAGTCACTAACATAGTAGTTTGCTTTTAGCTTAAAAGGACATTTTTATTTTCTTGGTGTAGTTTCATTGAATAGATTCTGTATTTTATTGAAGCAAAGAATCATTGGTCGACACATTTTTACTAAGTGTCCTCCCTTTATTACGTGTTGTGTAACAATGGTTTCTTTTGTATACAAGTACACTCTTGACTTGTAGGAAAGAATGTTACGAATATGGTTGATGGCAGGAAACACTGTATTCACTAAATGATGTAAGCCCTATTGTAGGGATTTTTTTAAGAGCCTTAAAACAGCAAAAAGTGACCACAGTAGGATTTGGAAAAATACTGACTAGATTATAGTGTGCTTATCTTTATACTATGTATATGGACTAAGCAGCAGACAGAAGTAATTACTTGAGCTAGAAGTATGGTGTTCACTGTATTATAAAGCAAAGACAAATCCTGAAAAGGAGTCAAGTGGTTGTTACATAACAAGATGGGAACGTATTCAACTCCCTTATGAGAACAAGACTCTTGATTATCTAGTACAAATCCTTTTTTTATCTTCACAATAGGCATGAGGAACTTGGTAAAAAAATATGAACCACCCAGACCTGAGGAAGTCGCTGTTCTGAAACAGAAGTTGGAGAGATGTCACTCTGCTGAGCTTGCTCTTAACGTAATTACGTAAGTAGTTGCGATAGTGTTGTTCAAAACAGATAGGGGAATCCCTGCACCTTTTCTTGTCTTTTTAATTTTTGGATTCTTTGCAGGTCTGAGATCTAATCTAAGGAGTAAGTGTACTGTTCCAGACTTATTTCTGTTAGCTACTCTAGAGAAACTTGGTGTATTTTCTTTCAGTGGTGAAATTTTACATTAAACACAGAACCAATAGCAAAATGTGCTGTTTTTTTTCTGAGTACTTGAGGGGTGCCTCTCAAACTGTAAAGGACTTTGTTTTTTAAACTCAACTTAACTTTTGTAAAATATAACAAACTACTAGAAAATGAATAAAAGACATACAATATAAGCTTAAATTTTATTAGGTTCAAGTCATAATTTACCACATTTCTGTAAAAGTTTCTAAACAGTTTCATTATGGACCACTCATAAGTGCTACTTTAGGATGTGTTTTCCTTAGTCTTTATATAATAAAAATGATGTAAGAATTTTAAGTAGTAACTATGTCATCATTGTTCAAGTCAGTCAGCACAGGTATACTCAAGTGTTCTTTGACTAAAATCCCAGATCTTAGTTTTGTCCTCAGAAGTAATTTAGTGTTTACCTTTGTCAACCTTTTCTCTCTGTGTGTGTAGGAAGTAAAGGTTTTTTTCTTTTCATTAATGTTTTAATACACATTGTACATTTAATAGTATCAATCTTTAACTCATGTCTGTAGGGGTGAAAAAAAATACCATCTTTGTATTTTAACACATTGCGTACCACTCACAAGTTTTCTTGTGTTTCGAGCGCCATCTGCTATGGACTTTAGATGTCAACACACTGTCTTGTCCACATCGAATGAAGCAATCTCATTGGTGGAAACCATGCAGGTCAATCTACGAAAAACTATATAATTGCACGAACCCATAAAGCATTGCAGTTACATTGTAGTTTGGTCACTTGAATAGTCTTCATCTTCAAGTTCCTGGCGCTTTTAGAAATGCCCTCTCTCAGAAAAAGGAAGGAAACCAACGAAACTGATACATTTCTGGAAGTATTTAACAATAATTTATCAGATATTCCTAGTGAGATCGAAGATGCGGATGACTGTTTTGACGATTCCGGAGACGATTCTACTGACAGTGACATTAGACCTGTAAGGAAGTGCAAGGTGGTAGCGCTTTCAAGTGATTCCAACACTGATGAAGCTACTGATAATTATTGGTCTGAAATTGACACACCACCACACTTACAAATGTTTGAAGGTCATGCTGGGGTCACTACATTTTCGTCTCAGTGTGACTCCATACCCTCTGACCAATCTCTTTTGGTGATGAATTGTTTGAGATGTTGTACAAAGAGCTGTCCAAGTATCACTATGAAACACAACGCCCACATGAAAGGCGTTGACCGTGTGGATCAATTCCTTTCGTGTTGTTCCATTCTAAGGAAAACAAAATGGACAAAAAAAGTAGTGCTGTACCTTACAAACTGGACTTTTCAATTCATTTAAAGTGTACAACGTCCTCAATCCACAAGCAAAAATGAAGTGTAAACAGTTTCTGATATCGGTGGCAAGAGATTGGATAACATGACAATAATGAAGGCTCTCCAGAACCAGAGACAAAATCTGTCCAGCCGTTCCCTTGGGGGTGTAAGGAGAGCACCTCATAAAGATCCACCCAAAAGGTTGTCAGGTGATATGAAACAGCATGAACCTATGTGTATTCCAGCGAGTGGAAAGAAAAAATTTCCTATAAGAGCCTGCAGAGTTTGTGCCACCCCTGGAAAAAGGAGTGAATCTAGATACTTATGTAAATTTTGTTTGGTCCCTCTTCATAGGAAAATGTTTCCTCTTCAGAGGAAAATGTTTTACGCAGTACCGTACGTTAAAAAAAGTACTAGGAACTTTGTTTAATTAGTTGTTTAATTGTTTTTGTAAATAAAAATGTTATAATTATTGAAAAAAAAAACACCTAAAGTGCATTATGATCTGTCGTTATGACGATTTAAATAACATGCAGTTTGCCCAAAAACGTGCAGTCCCTGACATTATGTATTAGAGTTTTCTATGCGGTATGCAATGTGTTAACTTACATTTCCCTTATTACTATGAGGCATTAATGTTTGTTTTACAGTCATTTGTCTTTTTTCTGTATTGCTTAACTTAAAACCCTTGCCTAATTTTCTGGTGTGATTTTATTGATTTCTAGTTCTGTATTTTAAATATTCATCTTTTAACATATTACACACCTGTTTCCTGTTGTTGTTTCAATTTGTGATATATAAGATCAGTCATTTCCTTTATGCTTTTATATCTAGGTACCTTTTCTTAACCTAAGTTAATCTATATTTTATTTTGACTTTTCAGCTGTTTAAACCATTTAGAATTGTGAATGGTCTGGGGTAGAAACCTCATTAGTTTTTTTCAAATCAATAACCTATTATATCATCCATTTTTTAATATTTCGTAATTTTTCTACTTTTAAATATTACAGTTTTTACCTATCTGCTCTAATCATTTTAATCTGTTTAACTCTTTGCTGATACCACACTTTAATTACCATAGCTTTTACATAAAATGTTTTGATGAGAACTGAGATATCATCAGACATGGTCCCCACACTGTTCTTTTTCAGATTCCTTTTGCTATTTTTGCATAGTCTTTCCCAGGTCAGAGTTAGACTTGATGATTTCCATGAAAAATTTTATTAGGCCTTTAATGAGAATTACATTAAAGTTGACTTTGAAAGATAGTCTTCATAATTATTCTTATCTCTTTCCATGTATGCAGACCTTGTTCTTTGGTAGAGAGATAGTACTACATATAGCCTTGCTAGTTTATTTTACAGTTATGTGGCCAGTTGTTAAACTGCTTACTGATGGTTGCCTAATTACAGGAAGAAAAGGAAAGGCTATGAAGATGATGATTATGTCTCAAAGAAGTCCAAACATGAGGAGGTATGTTCTCCATAGGTAAATAAGTTATTGTGCATTCTGGTGTGCCCATACTATTAAGATTTTATTGTTCTAAAATGCAAAAAATTATATACCTTATATATATATGGGTTTGGAAGCTTTCATTTTTTGCATCCTTCATGTACATGGCCTATTACTACAGAGATTTTTCCCCAACTTTTGTATGTGTTCTGAAGCAGTGGAATACTTGATGAAGAATCCATCATAAGAAAGCATAGAAAGCAGCAGAGGTAGACATACATGCTACAAAGTTTTGTTCTATTTTTCACTCTCCAAAGATTCTTCTACTCTTAAAAAAACAGATATACCTGGCAAGTCCGATATAAATGAGTAATCAGAGGCTGAAGGTCACAACTGTAACCGTTATTCCTGTCATTGGAGTAGTCAGGCAAGACAATGCCATTGTTACAAGATTAAACAACTACACATTTTCCTGGTTTGTATACCTTCTGTAATCAGCATTGTAAAGTAAAAGAATGTTTTCCTAAATTAGGGAGTCAAGGAGATAAGTTATACTGGTTATGCTTCAGTACGATGATATCCTCACTGCATCTTCTTTTCTTCTCAGGAAGAATGGACTGATGATGACCTGGTAGACTCTCTCTGACCATTTGAAATTGATCTGTCAATGCTTACAAATCAACAGAACGATGGAACACTTCGGGCATTTAAATTTCTTTAAAAATGAAATAATGTGAAAGCATCAAAATACAGTAAACGTTTTTATTTATTCAGGGTAGCTTTATATGAAGTAAAACATCTTCAAAGGACTCAGAATAGCACCTGGTTCAGATAATCTGCCTCCCCCATAACTAATATGAAATTTAGTCTTTCTGTAGTAGCCAAATGAAAGCTGTAGTTTCTTTGCCTATGATGTTTTAAACACAATAAGAAAACATCCCTTTTGAAAAAAGGCACCATGAAAAACAAAACTTAGTATTCAGCTTTAAACATGCTAGGGAATGCTTTTTGCTCTCTAGAAACCTTATGTATGGCTTCTCAAATGGCATCCTGATATAATTAACTATTTGTATGTTACTACTTAATTATACAGAATGTACTTCAACTGTTATGTGATATTGATAGCTTAGTCACTCAAGGTATGGGGATATTTGTTTTTCCCAATTAACTGGAAACATGTCCAAAAGGGTTTTTTTTTTTTTTAAATATTGATTTTAGAAATAGGGAGAGAGAAACATGGTTTATTTATGCATTCATTGGTTGATTCTTGTATGTGCCCTGACCAAGGATCAAACCTGCTACCTTGGCATATGGGGACAGTGCTCTACCATCTAAGCTACCCAACCAGGGCCTCTGAATGGCCCTTTTTTTTTTTTAAAGAGGAAATCAATCAAATAAACAGTCTTTAGTAGCTGTCTAGACTAAAACCTAAGTTGCTAAAGGTAAGGTAGATAGTAGCAAGTTGTATGTTCAGTTTTATAATTAACCTGTTAGATTACCCAGGTGAACCCATGTAAATGTGTTACAGTTACTAGAAATTTTTCAGAGTGAATATAAAAACACAAAGGCACAGACTGTGGCACCTAATCACTTGTGGCTCTGAGCAAGTTATTAAAGCCCTCTGTGTCCATTTCCCAAGGTGAAAAATGGGGAAAATAATACCTATCCTCACAGGATTACTTAGAATAGTGCTTCTGTATATTAAGTGTTCAAACAAATGTTGGCTATTACAGCATGTTTATTATTAATTGTAATCTTAACAATTTTCTACATTGGAACCAAATTCTGGACACCTGTCAAATTTTATGGAACACTGGGCTAAAGGAATTCTGAGAAACTCTCAATCTAAGTTTTGTGGATACACCTGGCTGCGTTGCTCACATGAGTGTAGGTACTGTTTTAATTACATCTTAGTATTTGAGGGCAGTATTTACACTACGTGTATTCTCATTTTAGGCATAAGGTTTGGAGTTTGTTTTATTTTTCACTTCCTTCTCATTGAATGGGAGGAATAAAATCGATGGAAGTGATTTTACAAAAGTGGAAAAAGCCTAAATTGGCAGTCCTCCAGTGCAGTCCATCCTGGTTAAGTACCAGTGCTGCAAGGCTCCCGACAGAATTCTGCAAGCTGTTCACAGATTACTTTCTATTTTAGGTCACTAAACTTTGGTATCAGAGCAAGGTCCACATTTATCTCAAATTTTCCTACCTAGCCCAGTTTTAGAGGTTTTATTTCATCACTGACCAGCTAGTTATTGCAAGGCCTGAAGAGATGAACAAGTTTCCTATTCTAGATAAACAGACAAACATATTAAAAAAATAAGGCAGAAGAGGAATTAGCACTTCAGATTAAGGGGTGGCAGGTCAGTACGACTGAGCCTGAGGTGTGATTACTGGGAGGGCTCCAAATGCGTAGGACTAGGTGTTGAACCTTTCCGCATACTGTCAAAAGAGGCACTTTGGAGATGTTGCTAATCCACATTACTTTGTCCTCTATCCTGTGATATGAGGGAAGGAGACCCAAGTTGGATATTACTGTGGCAATCCACTTGAAAAACAAGAGGGATGAAAAAGAAAGGAAAGTAACAGGAAAAACACACAAGGGGGGGAATGGAATTGAGTTGACCTAAAGAAAAAGGGGTACAAAGTGTGTTTGTTTTTTTTTTGCTCTCATTGTTCAACTGTGACTATAGCCACACCAAGGCTAGCTGCCTCCCCAGAAATAAGTTTATATTGTACAGAACCTTTTAAAACCTTGACTAGTTAACAGTATTTTTTCCTATATTTTAATCAGAGGGACAGAGTAAAATGTTGCTCTTGGAATATAAGCCTTTAGGAAATTTCTTTACTGTAGAAAAGGTTGTCCCTAATATTTTCCCCTTGGTTCCTGTCTGACCCACTTTGATATGCTGCTGCATACTTTTTACATGCCCTCTCCTTTGCACAATTACAGGAGTGAAGGAACGGTTGCTTAACAAATACATAATGAAGGAATTAATATAATCTTTCCAAAGAGACCATTAGAAAAAAAAATGATCTGAAGTTTCATCTTTGTGCCTTGCTCTGGTACTAAATTTGAACTATCCCTAAACAAGGAAGAAAATGAAATTAAATGCTTACCTGTATTTAGAAAGAAGTAATCAATTATTTAGTATCCCTTGGTTTTATTTTAACTTAACCCTTGTGAATACTTCACAAAAATACACATACAGAAGCAAATAAAACTATACAAACTAAATACCCAGCAGATACAATAAGTAGTCAGAAGTTCAAAAATGGATAGCTGTTAACATGACTGATGAGGTGGTCTGCATAACCAAAATCAACTTGGAATAAAAGAATACTTTCAACAAAAAGCATTCTAGGTTTTCTTTCTTTTTTAACACAAAAGAAATTGGTAATCTATAAAATGGTTGAATGGGTAACATGCATCGATCATTAGTACAACCAATAATATTTATTGAATTGAAATTATTTACTGTTGTAAACATTTAACAAAAAGCATTATGAAATCTAAATACAGTCTTTGACAGTTCAAATAAGTGGTATGTTTAAAAAATAAAGCTGATGAGCAATAGATCCATTCTAGAATTCTCTTTCAACAGTTCCAGCAAGAGAATAGCACAATATTTTTAAAAAGTATACAGCAAAGATTGTTCCTATTATAATGGCAAACTCTGGAAACTGTAAATACAAATAAAAGTCATTGAACAGTCAAACGGTCATGTTCTGTATCAGGAAGAAGTTACAGTAAGAACAGTCTGCAAATCCAGTTATATTCAATTGTTGACAGAATGTTTTTTCTTGTCAGTTGATTTCAGTTCTTTTTCCGAGAGACAGCAAAACTTTGGCAATTGGATGTATTGAAAATATATTCTCAAAGTTCAAGATAGTCATTTTGTTGTATGAAAGGTGATCTGTACACCAAGGCTCAGAGGTTGGTAAAGATTAATTCCATATGTGGAAAAAGTGCAAATATCCTGCACAGATAGCTTACAAAGCTGCTGGCTCAGTTAGTCACCAGCAGAATCTAGGGCTTTGTTTGCATAGCTCACACATCACTGGAATGTGGAAAGGTGTGCTATTTTTTGGCAAGAGCAGAGGAGACACACGGATGTGAATTTACCATGTTGGACATGTTGAATCCATGCAGAACACTTGGGTGAAGGCTGCTACCTGACATCATTGGTTTTTGTGTATTGGTTTTGTTTTTGTTGAAGCAGTTCTGTTATAGCCAGAAGCTTTTTCAGTACGTGCTAGACAAGGAAAAACAGTATGAAAATAATTAAATAAATGAAAGCTTGGTTGGAAATTTCAGGGATGGAAACCTGGCTTTGAAAAAAGCCATTATTACCATTCCACTGAAAACATAAAATTGTCAAAGTTGCTGAAGTGCTGAATAAATTTGATGATAATATTTTGGCTAAGAGAGCATTTTTGTACACTAAAGTAACTAGACATTCATTGTTTGACACTCTCTTATCTACTGAGGCCAGAATACAGACTTACCATTATAAATGACACATCGCAAGCCCAATCAACTTGCATCAGAGCGAGCACTTTAAAGAATCATAAAAGAAACACTGGGCTTAAAATTAAAACAAACATCACCTTTACCTATCTTAGTCTCAATTGGCCCAAATCCTCCAGTAAGAATTTTAATGTTTATGGCAAGTAATATAGTAAACTTTGCCCCAGTGTAGCAAGGAGACATACATGCCATAGGCATGCAGGTAGGCCCATGATGCACACTACTTAAGTTTCTAAAGTGACTAGAACTTTAGTGAGAGATTATTATCTTAACTTGGTTTTAGAATCTCAGGTTGAAGAAAACTCAGTCCTTTAATCTCCTCTATAAGGTTGGCCAGTGTAGTGACACTACTCAGGAAGAATTTAACTAGAAATGGTGATTTCCATTGTCACACTATAGAATTTCTGGATCTGGAAATATTTGAATCAAACTTCCTGAATAATTCTCAATGTGTTTGACAGTTTGTGAATCACTTGGCCATGGACTTACAAGCTTATTTGCCATTTTCACACATGGCACTGAAGTATATAAACACCATTTTGCAGTACCAAACTTACGTAATCTTAGTCTGAGCCTGTTAACCCTGTCTGCTGAGATCTTCTTATATTATGGTTCATTCTTAAAAATGCAATATTATAACTGATAAAATAAAATGCTGACCTTTATTCAGCTACTTATTACCTCTCAGAGAATCTTAAATGCTAATGGAACATCATTTTCAACAAAGGCTGGCAAAAACCTACCTGCTGTACACCACGCTCATTACTGAGCGTTCGCAGTTCATCTGAATGGGCCACACAAATCTCATGCAAAGCTGCTAAATCACGGGACAGGTCAGTTCTAGAATGTTCAGTAGTGTCTGGAAGTTCAGGTACATTCTTCAAGAAAATCATAAAACTAAATTTAGAAATATAAATCTTAAATTCTTTTCTAAAAAAATCCTAATTATGCTAGAATTTTAAACATATAACACTGTCAAGGTATTATTTGAATATTCTCTTAAAGTTCTGTTAAAATTCTAAAGTCTTATTCAAATGTAACATTCAGTGCTAATTCTGATTAACAGATTTTGTGACCTCAGTTTCACATCAAAACCAGTTCAGTTTCCTTCCACAGCATAGCAGAACACTGTACAGTATTACTGCTATTCTAAATAAATGGATTTCCTAAACTTTATAGTTCTGTGTATGTGGTTTTTTTTTTTTTTTTAATCTGGAACATGCCAAACAATGTAAGTATTGGTTGCTATTCTGGATTAAATGCAACCTAAAAAAGCCCCTCCGTGCTTTCAGACTGAATTTCATTATTTAGCTACTACAGTTTGCCTAAATTTATCAGCATATATAGTAAGAGCTATGTTACAAAACTGTCATGAAAACCCGTTAGGCCCATAATGTGTATGTGTGGTTCATTCCTGAAACACTAATGTGTGGAAATGATCAGTGTTAAATTATGGTACTTCAGAAAAGACTCAGAGAGTAAGTCACTTTAAGTTGATAGTACCTTATTAACAGTAAATACTGATGTTATTTTGAGCCTTAGAATAAAATTTAATATGGCACCCAGGATGGTGACAATATTTGCTATACATTCCTAAGTACTGCAGAACACTCAGTGTTCTATAGTATCAAGAAACAATTAGAATGTAATACATTTTTATTTATTAAATGATTCATTCACTCATTTAGTGAATGAAGGATTATGTAAATGAAAGACTAGTATTTGCCTTCAGAGAGCTTACAGTCAGGTAGACATGACAGAAGTAAACTGATAATAGCAACACAGGATTATATATCAAAGAAATGCAGAGGAAGCAAAACAAAAGAAACTCAAGTTTAGGGATCCGCAAAGCCTTCCTGAAGGAGGTATTTCAGGTGAGTCTTGAAAAGTTACATTTGATTTACACATGTAGTAAAGGAATAGAAAGAAAAGTATGAGGAAACTAGAAGAGTATTAGAACACTGGGATTCTATCAGTTTGAAAAGCTACATTACACATGTACCATTACTAGGAAAGAGGAAGCTGGACTATGAACAATTATGATTGGGAAAGGGAGTCCCAACCATGCATCCAATTATTATATGGGAAAGGGAGTCCCAACCATGCATCCAAAAACCTAGAAATACAACGTAGAATAAAATGAACTAGCCTTAAATACTGGGTGAACAGTTTTCAAACAGCTCTGTAAAATTAAATATATTTTTCAATCACTGGCCAACTATATTTTTTGAAACTAGAAATATTTCTATCTTCAAAACTTCCCCAGAGTTCACGTACGGAAACATGATGGATACCATTAACATTTGCTCTTTTATTTCTCTATTTCATTAGAAATATGGAGCTATGCTATAAATAATTTTTCTTAAAAAAAAATTTTTATTTATTTTTAGAGAGGGAAGGGAGAGAGAAAGAGAGAAACATCAATGTGCGGTTGCCGGGGGTCATGGCCTACAACCCAGGCATGTGCCCTGACTGGGAATTGAACCTGCGACACTTTGGTTCGCAGCCCACGCTCAATCCACTGAGCTATGCCAGCCAGGGCAATAATTTCTTACACAGTATTTTTTTTTCATACCTGAGGTTGCAAACTAGGGGCCCACAAGCAGTACTGATAGGTTTGATTGCACAGTGGTGTAAGGACTGCTTGCTTGTGTTTTTGACTGAATTGAAAATGCATTAAGGCAGAACATGGGCAGCTCAGTCTCCTACCCTAGCACTCCCTAATGCCATACACCTGTCTTACTTCACACATACTTGTTCCCTTCCTGGTTTCTATATACATGAACTGAACTGCTAATATATTTAGTTGGTTTAGATTTAGTCAGTATCTGAAAATATATAACTTAGTAAATTATACTCAGTAAATTATATAAGTAAATTATACTAAGAATCCAATGTCTTAAATATTTTCTTTAAAACCCCCTGTTCTTAATTTCATAATCACTATTTTATTTGTAAAGGTTCATAAGACATATAGGTGGTCCTACTGAGTGAATTATAACTCCAAATTCATGGATTTTATTCCTAGAAAGCCACAAGAACACTCATTCTCCAGTACATTTACTTATTGAACATGGTCAAGACTATGGGTTATCTATCTTGTTTCAGATTCCACACAATTGCAGCAAAGTAAAAGTAGCTAAACCAGCAAAAGAATGTCACAATAGTGAGGTAGAACAACTAATAGAGTAGTGAAAGACAAAACGGAAACTACAAAATGACACAAACTCAACCCAATAGTGTATGCTTGATGTAAACCATTTAGTGTAAGAATAAATGGTTAAAACTATAGTCAAAACAATTTAAGAAGGTAAACAAAAATATGAAGCTTTTTCTTTAGGTCCAGGTAGAAAATGTTATTCAAAGTTGTTGCTAAAATGAGTTAACTCTCAGCAATACTAACTATAGGTCTCAAAGTACTTGAAAAATTATATACATACCCCGAGTTCATCTAAAAACATGATCATACGATGTTTGTTACTTTTGATGAAAGGATTGACACCTTCCATATAGGGCTCCTAAAAATATTTAAAAAAAAAAATACTTACTATATACATCAGAAAACAAATTATATAAATATTGTTAGATCTATATAATGAAAACCTACAAGTACCAAGAATTCTTATAAATCTGTGTCCATCCATAGCAATACGTTTCATGCAGTGGCAATATTTTCATTCTAACATAAGTAAACAACTATACTAAAGAACTGAATGTAGTTCAATCTGTTTTTTTTTTTTTGTTTCCCTTGTCTAATGAGATATGTCAGAAAAAATACTGCTATAAGCATTGTCCAAAATTCTACTGCATATGTTTTCTCCTAGGAATTGTATGGTTTTGGGTCTACCATTTAAGTCTTTAATCCACTTTGAATTTTTTATTCTTTGTGGTAAAAGAAGGTGGTCTAGTTTAATTTTTCTGCATGTATCTGTCCAATTTTCCCAACATCACTTACTGAATAAGCTATCTAGCCAACTGTATGTGCTTGCTTGCTCTGTCAAATAGTAGTTGACTATAAAGTTCTGGGTTTATTTGTGGGCTCTCTGTTCTGTTCCATTGGTCTATGTGTCTGTGTTTATGCCAGTACCAGGCTGTTTTGATTATTATGGCCTTATAGTATAGTTTGATATTAGGTAGTGTGATTCCCCCAACTTTTTCTTTCCTGGGATCACTGTTGCTATTTGGGGCCTTTTGTATTCCATATAGATTTTTGAAATATTCTAGTTCTGTGAAATACGTCACTGGTATCTTGATAGGAATTGCACTGAATGTATAGATGGCTTTTGGTAGCACGGACAATTTAATGATGTTAATTCTGCCTATCCATGAACATGGTATGAGCTTCCACATATTTGTATCTTCTTCAAATTTTCCTTCAGTGTCTTATAATTTTCCAAATACAGGTCTTTTACATTCTTGGTTTTACATCCTTGATTTATTCCTAGCTATTTTATTCTTTTTGAAGCAGTTGTGAACGCAATTTTTTCTTTTAATTTCCCATGGGATTATATCAAACTAAAGATTTTGCACAGCAAAGGAAACCATCAATGAAATAAAAAGACAACCCACTGAATGGGAGAACATATTTGCAAATACCTCTGCTAACGGGTCAATATCCAAAATTTATAAAAAACTTACAAAACTCCCACCAAAGAAACAATTCAATTAAAAATGGGCAAAGGACCTGAATAGACACCTCTCCAAAGAAAACATACAAATGGCCAACAGACATACGAAAAGATGCTCAACATCACTAATCACCAGAGAAATGCAAATTAAAACCCACAATGAGCTATCACCTTACACCTGTCAGAATGGCTATCATCAATACATCAACAAGTTGCAGCAAGGATGTGGAGAAAGGGGAACACTTTTGCACTCTTAGTGGGAATGCAGACTGATGATTGGTGCAGCTACTGTGGAAAACAGTATGGAGATACCTCAAAAAAATAAAAATGGAACTGCCTTATGACCCAGTGACTCCACTTCTGGGAATTTATTCAAAGAAACTCGAAATACTAATTCAAAAGAACATAAGCACTCCCATGTTCACTGCAGCATTATTTACAATTGCCAAGATATGGAAGCAGCCCAAGTGTCCATCAGTAGATGAACCAATAAAACAACTATGGGATGTTTACCCAATGGTATACTACTCTGCCATAAAAAAAATAAATTTTACAGTATGGATGGACCTGGAGAACATTATCCTAAGTGAAGTAAGCCAGTCACAGAAAGACAAATACCATATAATTTCATTCATGTGGAATCTAATGAACAAAATGAACGAACAAGCAAAACAGACACAGACTCAGAGAGCAGAATGACAGCTCTGGGGAGCAGGGGTGGTTGGGGGTATTTAGGTGGTGGTTGGATGACTGAGCAAAAAGGAAAAGGGACTCAAGGACATGGACAACAGTGTGGTGGTTGTGGGGGAAGAGGGGCTTACGGGGAATAAATGGTAACAGAAAAATACAATTAAAAAAGAAAATGGAGTATTTTATTGAAAGAATAAATCCTGGAATGAGAACAAATCAGAACACAAAACCTAGCAGACACAAATTGCTTATGTGTAATTTATACAAAATAATTACTGATAAACTATTATTTGCGAAGCACTAAGACAAATATGGGCCCCACTTTGAAGTTAGAATCTAGCAGATGATAGGGAATTAAAATGCAGTGTGATTAAGGACTGCAACACGATTCAGATAAATTCAAAAGTTAAGCTATACATATAAATTGCTCTTCATACTAAAGACTTAAGTCTATTTTTAAAATATGCTATGTTGTAAAATAAGAAAGAGTTAATATTAACACAAGTTCTCCTAAAATCAGTAAGAAGAAGGAGATGAGATAAAGACCTCACTGGTCAATTCCAAAGAAACAGACGTAAAGCAAAAGGTTTGTTACATGTGGGGAAAAGGAGGTGCCATAGTACGATCCCTAGCAGAGTATTAATAGGCCTTAGGTTGTAGGATCACATGTGGGTGGTTTTACAGGCTCATCCAAGTTTTAAAATTAACGATGAATGTTTATTGTGAAATAAATTTTTGAAAGTTTATTGCAGTGCATTTACATATATGCTGACTGATTTTTAGACTTAAAAGTTTGAGGATCTGAGTATATTCAAATTTGAAGATACAGTTTTCTATAATGGCTAAAATAAAAATTTCATTATTAAAATGTAAAATCTAAAAACATTTTTAAAAAATCAACATACGAACAAAAATATAAATTGGGTTAATAAAATACCCAATGTTCAATTTACATAAGCTATTTTTATGATTTTAATCATGTTCAAGTTTCATTCACAAATGTTATTTTAAAGAATCAAAATGTTTTTACCTTAGCTCCAAATTCCACAAGATTTGCTAAGTTCTGAACAGACTTAGCCACTAATGTCAGTGTTCTTGCAGCAATAGGAGATGGAGAATCTATAAGAGAATTGTACAGAGCTAATGAGACCAGCACCAAAAGTACTTCCAGGTGAAACTATTAAAAATTTAGGACTTCAGTAATTCTTTACTGTTCAAAATACTAATGTTCTCCCATTCAGAACTCAATTTTTTTGACAATGTATGACCTGCATAATTCAAAAGAACTTGAGATAAAGGGAGAGATACTGAATACACTTATTAGTTTTGTGAAAAGAGTAGTACTACAGGACTCAGCAATTCCCAATATCTCAAAGCTTTTACCTTTTATCGCTTAAAAAAACTGTTGCTCTATACACTGTGACAATTCACAAGGCTAATTTCAACCCACTCACGTTAGCAATCTGCAATCTGAGCAATTCTCTGCTCCGAACCTCCACTGACTACAAATAATTCATGTTATAAGCTCAATAACAAAGATGAAGTCTGGTACCACTGTTTTATTTTTGAGAGAAAACATGCAGTTTAATACATGTTTTAAAATAAACATGTATTTAATCTTTAAAAATATTTTAAAGATTACTTAGGAAACAACTCCTTATAGAATACTGATAGTAGATGTAAATGAAAAGTATGTGGCTATTAAATATAAGCCCTGAAACAAGATAATTATTTAACAGTAAAAACGGACAGGGAGTCTGACTGCCTGATTCTCCATTGTACTTTGTAGCTTAAGCTGCTAAACTAAATTGTACTGACTAATGGGGTTCAGAGGCCAACATTTAGATTAAAAAATTTCTCCAAAAGAATTCTAAATGCTTAATTTTTAATAGACCACAGATTTAATCATTTTAGTAGCAACAGAAAACAATGACAGAGATGGGATGGCTATAAAGGTAAAAATTAAGATATTCCTGAATATTTTTATATAACTTTGAGCTTCAAATTATTAAGATAAATATGGTTCAGGTTCCTTATTTTAGTAATGGCTCATTATTACATTCATAGTAGTCACAAATATCACCCTCAAAAATCTGAAAGTCATTACACAATGGACATACAGGTAAAAAGCAAAACAGTTTGGTTATTAGAGTTAAATATAGCTGATTAACACTATATAACTGGTGGAAAGAAATCTCTAATGGAAAATGTCTAATCTCTAAAGAGCAACTTTCTAAAGTAATCACGGAGCACTACTGCAACTGTAGCACACAAAAAGCTCTTCTCCCTATTTGGAAAAGCCAAGATGCAAATAGGAAAAAGTCATCATAATAAAGAGTTTGAGATACATATAGAAATGGAAATGAAGTGATATGTACAATAACTAATTATACCATCGAAAGCTTCAGGTATTAGATGGGAAAGAAGGGAAAAGAGGCAAATGGCAAGAAAAGGTAAAGTAGCAAAATGAAGGAAGAAGAAATGGAAGGGTGCTTTGGAATGTTTCATACCAAGGCTCCTAATTGGATATTTAAAAAAAAAAAATCAAACTTAAAACATTATGTCACCTTATTAAACAGAATGAAGTTTTATTCTAATTTTTTAATTTCAAAAATTTACCAAAAAGTATTACCTGAGATGATATTAAACATCCGTGGGTTCAGGATGGCAGGACAGATAAGTCGAAGAAAAACAAAACCACTGAAAGGGAGGACAAGATTTTTTTTTTTTAAAACTACTACATAAAATGATAAAATTTTCAATACTCATAAAACCATGAACATTGAACTAATACAGGGAACCACAAACACAGCGTTAAGAAAATGGCTAGAGTATTCTACTTTAAGAACATATGTATCTTCTTAAACATACATACTCACTTTTCCAAATTTAGGATTTTAGATTTACTCTGGGAAGCCTTTTATTATTATCTCTAGTATTTATTACCTTGGCTACTATTTATTTATTCTAAGCCAGTAGTACATTTTAAATTTAATTTGCTAAAGCAGTGTCCTTAAAAACACTAAGACTTTCTGGAAAAACTATAGGAGCACAAATAAACCTTTTTATGATACAAAATCCTGGAACTACTCCTAAAACTACTGTTTTCTCACTTTTCTTTCTGTATTTAAACAGAACCCAGTAAAGTCTGGTTCTACTGATTTTCTTGACATGCCACATAAAAATAAGAATCCACTGTCCTAAGGAAAACGGTGAGTCCTTGATAAATGCAAATGCATACAATAGAATGTGAAAAGTTTTTATGGCCACAAAGAAAACGACATCAGGCTTTCTCAAGTAAAAAAAAAAAAGTTCTTGAATTACAAAATAATAGCAAAAACAAAAAGTAGTATAAAAGAATATGGCTTAACAACATTATCATATATGATTTTACCTGCTAATTTTACTCAGGGAAAAATGTATAATGTAAACTGCAAGCCTATTTAGCCTTTTCCTAGCCTGATAGAGTATATGTTGTCACATAGACACTTTTTCTCAATTTCCTTGTAAGAGGAATCCATATTAATACTAGACCTCTTACCTGCTGCTTGTAAAGACAAGCATTATTCCCAAAATAGTTTATAAAATTCCTTCCAGAGACTAAAATAAGCAACACAATTTCTGTTCTTTGTCAGAGTGGATAACCAACTGTTCAGCATTTACCTTCCAATACACACTTGACAGTTCGCTAATTTGGGAATCTTAGAAAGTGACTATGCTACTTCCTAACATCTGCTGCAATTAGATATACGACAATTATGAAGTCTTTAAATTTGGATTTTAATTTATGAAGAATCTTTTATATATTTTATTTGAACATATTTTGATACTTATGTAGGTTGTAGAATCTGAAATATAACCTGGCAACATGAAACCCTAGAATTTTAGTGTGCAATCTACTTTGTTTTAAGAGGTATACTAGGTACCTACACATATATTTAAAAGCTTATTAAGGGCAGAAATGGTCACCTTGGCAATAAATACTCCTTAAAATACCCTATGGTATCAATGCACATAGCAGAATTTCCTGCTGTGCTTGTTTAACAAGTGTATGAGGCCTATCTAGAAAAAGTTGAGCCATTGTTAATGTAATGAGAACAGTTTGTATGATATCCATGTAACTTGGCAGCCAAGGGGAGTGGACTGGAATGCTCATGTGTGCACAATGACAACTTCACTGTACTAGTTAGTAGGGGCAGCAGATGCCATTGAGCAAGCACGTGTACTGTGTGGCTGTCACATTCAAAATGTCTGAACTAGTACAGCAATGAATCTGCATCAAGTTTTGCATTAAGCTTTAACATTCCTCCAAAGAAACTATTTGGATGATTCAGAAGCCCACAGCTACTGGCAACTGGTGATTGGAAGCTTCATCACGAAGACAGGCCAGCTCATGCATCACACCTTGTGCAGTTTTTTTGAGAAACATCAAATCATGCGGGTGACTCAGCCCCCCTGTATCCCAGGATTTGGCGACCTGTGACCTATGGCATTTTCCGAAACTAAAATCACCCTTGAAAGGGAAGAGATTTCACACAGTTGATGAGATTCAGGAAACTATGACAGGGCAGCTGATGGAGACTGGGAAAATTGTGTGAGGTGCCAAGGTGCCTACTTTGAAGGAGACTGAGGTGTCATCCTGTATGGTGTGTCTTCTTCAATAAATGTCTCTATTTTTCACAGTAGATACTGGATATCTTCTGGAAAGACTTCATACTTATTTGAAACTTACAGTTTATACAAGTGTTAATTTACATTACACATACATCTGTTCTGAAACATATGCTTATAATTCCTTTTTTCTCTCAATCACAACTAAAGCCAAGAGATACAGAACTTACAATTCTTAAATATTTATGGTATGATTCTAAAATTTTTATCTGTAAAAAGAGTAGATGCCTCTACAAAATTTAGGTTAGGGACTAGATCAACACACAGTTTCAAAACTAACTGGATGATACTGGTGTTTTTAGTAATTGGCTAATTTTTTTATGGGATGTTAACATGACTGGCAGTATATATATTCTACATAATATATCATATCACTATTAAACTACTATATTCTCTGATGCTTTTTCACTAAATTTCCAACAGGCTTGAATGGCTTCAGGATGGTTAACCAAAGTCTGCAGTAGTATTAAGAATATTAGATTGGGTCTTAGAAGTTTAGTCTTTAGTTCTACATTAACCACTAACTTTGTAATTCCTCTTAGCACCAAACAAGAACACTGCAATACAACTTTAGAACTAGAGGACCTGGCTGCAGATAAGTCCAGAGTCACAGAAGTGTTACAAACCAATTAATGCCTAAATGGCTCAATTATTGCTCTTTTTCTTTCCTTCCTTCCTCTCCTTAACTCCTCCCTCTGTCTACAGATACACATGTATATGCATGTGTGTACACATATATGTGCATGAAGGGTACTATAAAGTTAGCCAGATTTTGTTGATTATATAACTTTTAAACCTCATTCTATAAAATAAAAATCCCAAATAGTTAACTGACTATAAATAAATATTTAGGTTTTCAGAAAATGCAGAAGATATCGAAGTAATCTCACAGTAACTTCCAAAATCAAAACAGTACAATACAAAACAAACCCACGATAACTTATAGTTTAGGAGCCATCTGAACTCAAGAAAATTTTCAACAGGGCTCCAAATTAAAGTAAAAGAAAAAAGTCTTGAACAATTATCTCCTTGACTCTCTGTGAACTATATACAGTGATGTAGCAAATGAACTGCTCAGCCTTACCTAACAACTCTTGTTCTCATGGTGTTATTTGTAGGCCACTTGCGCTGAACAGATTTCTGTAAACATCCATAAATATATCTCAGTGTCCTGCCAAAACAATACAATCATCTCAATACAGAAAGCAAGTGAAAATACTGATCTCATTATACCCAAAGTTTATTTTCCCAAACACATGATATATTTTAATGCAATTGGCCTTCCCCCCCTAAAAAAGTATTTGGTTCAAAGTACTGACAAAATCAAATAAGCTTTCATCATTAATTCATTTAATCAATTTTTACATTTACTTTTGAAGAAATCTTACCATTTTTAGATTACTTCTGCATTAATGAAAAGTACAGAAAAAGTATTTGGATGATGAGACAGAGGTATCATAACATCAGGACAATGTAAAAGCTTATATGTTTTAGAAGTATAAATTTTTTCAAAATGCAGATATATAATATAATGTCTTTCCAAATTAAAATTTCACCACTTACGGTGGAAGTATTTCTGAAGCCATGAATATTTTCTCCACAAGCTCTGAAAGTATGTTCAATAAGTGTGCTAAATTAGTGTTCACATCTTCATTTTTTTCTAACTTTGATGGACTTAACTAGAAGAAAGAATAAGTCAATATAACTGAATCTTGGCATTGATAAGCACAAATGAATCCAGGTATCAAACTTGCTATTTTCAAGGTTCTCTACTTTTGCATTTTTCAATCTCTATTAGTCTTTTAGGGGGAGGTAAACTGGGAATTAAGCTGTTTACACAATAGAACTCCTTGGGTTTGTTACCATTAATTCCCAATTGATGAAGCTGACCCCCGAACAACATTGTTTTGAACTGCACAAATCCACTTATACACCAACTCTTTTCAATAAATACTTGTAGTTTCTGATCTGCAGTTGGGAGTCTGGATGCAGAGAGCCGACTATATGCATTGATCTATGCCATTTTATACAGGGATTTGCACATCCACAGATTTATCAGTGGGGGTCCTGGAACCAATCCGCTGCAAATACAGAGGGACAGCTAAGTTTTGTGGGAATCAGAAGTTATACATAGATTTTTCCCATTTAGGGTGGGAGCTGGGGTGAGCCCCTAAACCCCCAGGATTGTTCAAGTTTCAACTGTACTCAATTGAAGAGCAAGCTAAGATTATTCAACAATTTTCAGGTGCTTTGAAATTAATACTGGTAAATTAAAGTTCTATTCCTTTACGATGTTTTACTATAGATTTTTACACATACATAAAATTGGATTAGACTTTCTTTTAAAATATAGATTAACTAAAAGACAAAAAAACCAGCTTTGGTGGCCACATAGTCACAAACATACTAGGAGCATTTAAATGGAAAGAAAGATCATACTGTTATTATAAAATATACCTTAATTTTATTTGAAGAAAAGACTGACTTTTCTAAATGAGATATGACTTATTTATTGACTAATAAAACACTAAAATGCATTGGGCAGAATCATGAACCTTTCTCAAAACTTTTCCTTTGAAGTGTAAATTTTCTGATATAGAATCAATGGAGTGGATTTATCTGTATATGTCTATATTCCCCAGCCTGGATCCAGCAACCAGACACTCTGTAGACTTGCAAAATTTCTGTATCGTTTACCCTTAGACCAACTGTGGTGTTACCCCAGGTTTTCAACACTAAATCTTCACTTTATTTCCTCTAAGTTAATAGTAAATATCGACAACTTAATGCAGAATTAACATTTGATAGTTCCTAGTATAATTATCAAAAGCAATTTCTTAATAATTTTGTATTAGATCTACAAATACATTCAGTATTTTTCTTCTGTAGTTGCTCTTCCTTCAAAATAAAATGAGACAATATCCATATAAGTGAGATTCCACTCTTTACCTTCAAAGTTTATTATGAATTTACAATGCAACCATTTTTTGCTTTTGAGAGGATTATTCCATACTACCACAACCTCAAAAAAAAAAAAAAACCCTTCAAAGACAAACCTAAATGTTTTTATGATATGCTACAGAACTTAACTAGATTATACAACAGAAGTCTCGAGCAGAAACTTCAGTGTATATTATTCACACTTTTTGAAAGTAGCATATACTTTACCATTAGTACAGTAGGAGAAATAATAAAATATGTTTATGAATTTCTGATGCAACTTGAGGTTTTTAATCCCAAATAAAGTGATGTTTTAAAAGAAGTCAGCTTTACACATTTTATAAATGTATTATAAAAGATATAACCATTCTGATAATTTTAAAAAGCTAATATATTTTCCTTAAAATGCAATTAACTATAAAGCATAACCTATTAAAATATGCTCTTTGCTCAAATACTTAAAACATTAAATTCTTACCTCACAAGACTGCTTGCTTTCCATTATCTTTAAAATGCAGTCTTTCAAAGCATGATGAACAAATTGTGTAGCAGTGGCTTTCATATACTGCTCCATCAAGGTACTTGCAAGTGTTGTGGCTCGAAATAAGGTAGTGGCTTCGTCTACATGAATATATTAAAAGATTATCTGTAAAGAACTGTACTAATGTGAACCAATTAAAAATTACATGAATTCATTTTTTTCCTCAACCATTTTCCCTCAACAATTATAACCATTTAAGTATGTTCATTTGCATATAGCATTAAAGTATTGATTATAACAACATCCTATATTTCCATACACTTAACTCTTCAAAAGGCTTTATATCTATTACTTCATTAGACCATAAACAAGAGAAGGGATTAACACTACCATGTTCATATATAGATTTTTTTTAATAAAGGACTTAGAATGGTTAGGTGACTTGCCTAAAAACAACGTTAGTGACACAACTAGGACCACAATTCAGCTTTGCTGTCCATTGAGCCCATATTTTGAAAAATTTGAGTTAATTTCCAAATGAAAAATATAAAATCCCAATATAATTTATCAGCCTAAAACATGGCTGCTAATAACTTTTAATAAAGTCTTAAAGACCACAAATATTGTCAGAAAAGACAATCTCAGTGTAAAATACATATAGTCGCTTTATCTTTTCTGACAAATCTATGTATTTTTACATTTTCTATGACTAGGAGGAAATAGTTCTAGATTTTACAGTTTATTTGGAAAAGGCTAGAAGCAAGCATTGTTACTGAATTAAAGTGCTGGTTGGAAATGGGTTATTCTGACATGACCTATAAGCTGTTAACAAAGCACTATGTGCCTGGTTATATTGCCTGGGAACTACCTATCTGTAGAATATAGAAATGAAATTCGGCTGACACACGACTTTCATGCAATGACTTAAAGAGTAATCAATAAACAACTGAACATGGAAGGTATACCAACCGATTCTTCATAAAGTACTATGAGCCACAGATTTGAATGTAGAGGCCACTTCCTTATGACTTTGAATATTAATATGCCATGACAGAAACTTGTAAAAATACCAACCACCCAACTAGCCAGCATAAGAAGCAGAACTGACATTCTAACTGATTTTTAATAAAGGAAAAGCAGAACAGCTTATTTTGCAAGATGATAGAACTCTTTAATACATTCTAAGATAGAATCCATATATACTTTATATGTAAAATCTAATTGTTGACGCAATGTTTAAAAGTATCACACTAACACATCCATACTATACCTTCCATGCTTATTTCTCTGTCATTTAGTGTACATAGCAATAATGATTCAAGCTTCTCATGAAGAAAAATCCTCAGCAGGATGCTGGCCAGTAGTGTTCGGTCCTGTCCACACACATGTGATAAAGCATAGACTACATGAAGCTCCTTTTGCAGTATAAGCTAGAAATGACATCAGAAAGATTGTTGAAAGTACACAGCATTAAGTACTCTCAGTGAGATTAATAGGAAATACGTCCTTTTATGTTCTTATAGTTAAGAATATGTGCTATTGAACAAACCTATTTTAAAAAGAATAAGATTGTAGCCTACATATTTTTGTCTCCCAAGACCAACATCACACTACCAACAAGGCTGTTCAACCCTCTCTGCCTATCAGTGTGCTAGTAAACTATGGAATTACTACATTTAACTTAACTGATCTTCTATTAAGTGTTAAATATTTCTGTTATTGCCATCAAAAATAATTAGCCTGGGCCCTGGCCGGTGTGGCTAAGTTGGTTAGTTGTCATTTCCACATGCTTGGGTTTCAGATCAGTCCCTGGTTGGGGTGCAGAGAGGCAACTGATCAATATTCCTCTGCCTTTTTCTCCCTCCCTTCCCCTATCTCTAAAAGTAAATAAATAAAATTCTAAAAAATAGTAATTATATTGGTAAATAATTTAATACCTCTTTAAATTCACTGTATTCTTCTTCTGGCATGATTTTTTCCATAGAGTATCGTGCTCGGACACGCAGGGATCCTGGTTCAATACCTTTTAATGGTATATGGGAGCTGAGCAAAAACCATTCATCTGTGGCGTGCCCTTTCTGTAACCGGCTCAACTGGCAGCGCATAAATACTGTGATAGAAAAACATAAAATGATTACTATCTACAAAGATAACACTATAAATTAGTCACACAAATAAATTATCCTGATATTTTGCCTTCTCTATAGTGTTAAATGCTTTTTATTAAAGAAGTTTTCAGTGATACCACAAATTCAATACTGAATGTTTACTTCATTCACTTATAGAATGTCTACTATGTGCCACACTCTCTTATAGGAAGGGTGTGGGATACAGACATGATTAAGACATAGTTTCTGACTTGAACGGAGGTGACAATCTAGCCAAGAGGGAAGAAAATCAATTATGGTACAGTGTGATAAATGATCTAACAGTAGTTAATGATAACAGAGTATACAGAAATGATATCTAGACAGACTTCCGGCCAAGATGGAGATGTAGGTAGACATACTGTGCCTCCTTGCACAACCAAGATAGGGACAACAATTTAGAAACAGAATAACAACCAGAACTGACAGAAAATTGAACTGTATGGAAATCAGACAACCAAGGAGTTAAAACAGACACATTCATCCAGACCAGTAGGAGGGGTGGAGTCGGACAGACGGGCGGGGAGGAGTCAAGGCACAAAGAGCGGTGGGACCAGGTACGTAAGGCATCCTGGGTGCAAAAGACCACACCTGGTGGACCCTGGGAGCACAGGTGGCAGCTGGTAGACCCCGGGCTCGGGGTGGCAATGGGCAGACCCAGCAAGGTGGCACCTGTGAAACAACATACTGTGTGTAACCCAGGGTCCCAGAGCCAGGAAACAGAGCCTCGGGGTACTGATTGAAAACACCTGTGGGGGTTGAGGCTCAGGGAGAGACTCACAGGAATTAGCACCAGAAAGGCCCAGTTTGCTTGGGGGAAGCAGTGGAAGGGACTGAAGTCTAATAGAAAGCAGAGCAAGCGCCACTGTTCCCTCTCGGACACCGCCCCCACATACAGCGTCACAACCCAGCAACTGGGTTGCCCCATCCTGGTGAACACCTAAGGCCCCACCCCTCATACATAGCAGGTGCGACAAGACCAAAAAAGAAAAAAAAAAAGGCCCATACTAAGTGACCGAGAGATAGCCAACCTATCAGATGCACAGTTCAAAGCACTGGTGATCAGGATACTCACAGAATTGGTTGAATTTGGTCATAAATTAGATGAAAAAATGAAGGCTACGCTAAGTGAAATGAAGGAAAATGCACAGGGAACTAATAGTGATGGGAAGAAAACTGGGACTCAAATCAATGGAGTGGACCAGAAGGAAGAAAGAAACAACCAAACAGAAAAAAATGAAGAAACAAGAATTCAAAAAAATGAGGAGAGGCTTCAGAACCTCCAGGACATCTTTAAACATTCCAACATCCAAATTATAGGGGTACCAGAAGGGGAAGAAGAAGAGCAACAAGTGGAAAACTTCACTGAATAAATAATAAAGGAGAACTTCCCCAATCTGGCAAAACAGACTTCCAAGAAGTCCAGGAAACTCAGAGAGTCCCAAAGAAGTTGGACCGAAAAAGAAACACACCAAGGCACATAATAATTACATTAGCCAAGGTAAAAATGAAGGAGAGAATTCTAGAAGCAGCAAGAGATAAGGAGACAATAACCTACAAAGGAGTTCCCATTAGACTGTCAGCTGATTTCTCAAAAGAGACCTTGCAGGCAAGAAGGGGCTAGAAAGAAGTATTCCAAATCAGGAAAGGCAAGGACCTACATCCCAGATTGCTCTATCCAGCAAAGCTATCTTTTAGAATGGATGGGCAGATAAAGTGCTTCTCAGATAAGATCAAGTTAAAGGAGTTAATCATCACCACGCCCTTATGTTATGAAATGTTAAAGGGACTTATTCTAAGAAAAAGACAAAAAACATGTATAGCAAAATGACAGGAAACTCACAATTATTAACCACACCTAAAACAAAAATAAAAACAAAAACAAACTAAGCAAACAACTAGAACAGGAACAGAACCACAGAAATGGAGATCACATGGAGGGTTAGCAACAGGGGAGTGGAAGGAGAGAGGAGGAAAAGATACAGAGAATAAGTAGCATAGATGGTAGGTAGAAAATAGGGGGAGGTTAAGAATAGTATGGGAAATGTAGAAGGTAAAGAACTTATGACATACGGACATGAACTAAAGGGGGAAAATGTGGGTGGGAGAGGGTGTGCAGGGTAGAGGGGAATGAAGGGGGGTAATGGGACAACTATAATAGCATAATCAATAAAATATATTTAAAAAAGTGATATCTAATTCAGCCCATGGAAGTTAAAAATCCATTTCAAAAAGGTAACCTTTAGGCTGACTTGTAATAGGATCTGGAGATGTAGCTAAGTATAAAGGCAGAGAAAAAGAGAGAGAAAGCAGGAAGGGGGACACAAGTGCAGTCCAAATAGAAGGTAGGATGGGTGCTTTTAAAATCCATGGATAATGTAAAGCTGTGAGAAAGCTGGTATAGCTGGAGAGAAGCGCACACAAAAGATTATACAGGGAGAGCAAAAGAGAGAGTGGATCAAAAAAGGGTCTTTCTTCTGTGTCATTACTGGGAGTCAGATTTTATCTTAAAATTAATGTGGAACCACTAAAAAATGTTAAGCATTTAAATACAAAAATTACAGAATAAACATTTTACAGAGGAAAATTCAATTCAGGCTTTGACCTATCTGTTAATACATAAAACACTTCTTTCTCTAGGCCTGATTTTTAGGAAGGTATTAAACTAATTCACACCTGTGTGAATTGCTAAATCCAACTGCTGCCTGTTTCAGCAACAGGCTGGGAAAAGGTGTGCTGCTAAGATAAAACCTGGGAAGATTTGACAACTAAAAGTGAGCAGTGTGCTTGTGTTTAAAGAAATTTTTTAAAATAGAGTGCTTTTTTTCATTTACATGAAAAGTACAGGAAAGCAGGAAAAACTTAAAAAGTAGAGAGAAGGTACAGGGGAAGAACCACAGAAAGATGACCTATGTAACTGTTTTCTTCTTCTTCCTACTCATTAGGAAGAGGGAGAATGAACAGATATGTAATTTAATCTTAAAGGCTTATTAGGTATACAGTACGTATAATTTAGTCATATCAATACTTTTATAAAAACACAAAGGAACTACAGTTTTAGCCTACATTATGAATTTTTAAAAGCACACAAAACATTTTTGTTTTGCTCTAGAAAGAAATTTCTTTATCAACTTACAGATATCAGGATCTTTGCTTTTCTTTGTTTTATTACTAAGAGTTATTTCAAATCTGTTGATGTCAGGAGGAAGATCACTAAAGGAGCAAGGAGAAAAATAATTAACAAAAGGTCCTTGTATCAAACTATCTTTCTAGTATCCAGCAGGGCCCCTATTTTGCTACTAAACAACTTGAATGTATTAGATTTACAACTAGATTCTAAACATGTTTTATTGCTTGCTATACAGAAATACAGACAAGCAAACTACATTTGCCCTACCACCTTTAACTCCTTCAAGTAAAGCCTGAAGGATATTTACAAACCTTTGTAAATATATTGTATGTGTGTATTAGCAAATGCTTTAAGAGTTGCCAGTAATGCTAATTTACATTAATAATGAGGTGAAAAACAAAGGACATAGCACTTTATTAATAAAGCAAACAAATGCAACAGAAATAAATATGTATGTACTATTAAAACACTGGGCTTGGTACCCTGTTGCGACAGTTTAGATATAGAAACAAAGAAAAAAAAACCAAAAATGCAATATAGTAAAAGAAAATGATTTAATATAATAATAAGACTTACTCAAAGACAAACTCTTCTGACCATACAGGGTTTTGCCCTTCCCTTGCATGAGTTTTTGCTACCTGGACACTGTTCAGGTAGATGTTGCAATATGGATTAGTAAAATGTTTCATAGGGAGTTTATGGGCTTCTTCAATATGTAAAACAAGACTGCTGACCTAAAGAAACCACAAAAATTATTACCCCAGATTTCAAGAACTATGCATTAGGTTTCAAAAACAATTGCTATAAATATAGTTTTGTTTTACAAGTTATTCCTCTAATTATACTCTTGCAGTAGTAATGAAATATATCTTTTTCACTATAAAACAATAGTTCAGAGAAACTGAAAAGGATACTTTATTAATATAAGCAAACAACTATCACAAGTGAAATCAAAATCCTGTATGTTATTTAATGCTCATCTGGAAGATTAAATTTCTATAAAGAGTTTCACGGCTATAAAATATTTTTAAAACGGTGTCTACCTTTTCATTCTACAGAAAAAGATACAATCCAAAGAAAAACATAGTCATCTGTCAGTTTTGATGCCAAAGCTCAGACCAACTACCTTCTAGTATCAGGTCTTCTCTTCCCTCCTGCCATCTACTACTTGCCTTGGACAAGTCAGCTTCTCTGAACTGTCTTCCTCAGATATAAAGTTAGAATAAAGTTTATACTGCAAATATTTATAGAGATTCAAAGTAATATGTGTAAAGCACAAAGCAGAGTACCTGACACATAAGGGTTCAAAAGATATTAGCTGTATGATATTATACCTATAAATAATAATTTTATGGCTAAGTTTCACACAAGACACAATCTGTAAAAATTCAACATGCTTTTCCATAGCTTACACAATGTTAAAATATGTTTTGAAAACACACAGCAATTATGTGTATAATTCAATTTCATTAGGGAGTCAGTCTTTTGGCTACTGGGAATATAAATTGTACTCACCCAAATATTAACATTTATCCATTTCTAATAGAACATTATGTTAAAATCACCAAGCTTCTTGGCAATTCCCATAAATAAAACAAGTCACTTTCATCAATAAACACTATACTAAACTTCCCTCAAAACTACAATGTTAAAATTACTTAATTTTTAACCAGTAATCTATAGGTAACTATAAAGAAAAAAAGCAAGAAAAAGCAGAATATGAAGGTGACTTTACATACCTTGAAAGGAAGGACCTAGTTTAACTCTCCATAATGAACACATACAACACGTTAAGGTTTCAAACAAGATAGTTAAGAGTTATGTAATAATATTTCAAAAACAATTTCTGTCAAATGAAAAACCCAGAGTACCTTAAGGAAGATGATCTTTTCTATAAAGTACCTTTAGTTCCATTTTTTTGAAATGGGCGAAAATAATGTTTTTAAGGAAGAAAAAGTGCCCAACAAAATAATTTGTTTTTGTTGGTTTGGTATTTTTACTTTGAGTGGGAGATAAAAAGACCCTTGACAGGTGTTCAAAAGATGACATTGATAAGTATCCAGCACATATGTAAAGAACATTCTCTTTCATTAAGAAATAAGTTTATCTGGCTCCTGAAGCAAGTAGAAGATTTAAAATGCCTGACAAGATTAATTTCTCTTAAGATCTTTAAAGTGTTTGAAATGTTGCCCAAAACAGTTCATACAGAAATAAAGAGCAAAGTGATAAACAAAATGTGACAGTCATAAATCAAAGAAAAGTAAGTTTCACCTGACGCAAGCGTTTATTAGATGTTCCTGGACTACTTTTCCGTAAATTGCAAAATGCCTGAAGACCTTTCATCCAATCCTACAAAAAAATAAATGAAATAAAATAGTATCAGCTCAATAAATTACCATACTATAGTTTATTTAGTTTCAATCATCAATAGTTCTTTCTTTCTTGAGACTGCTACTTCTCAACTCACAGTACACTGTACTTTAATATATTTGTACTCCAAAAAAGTAAAAGTGACCAAAAAAATTATAATTCTGTAAGAATTTGTGTGTCTGTAGAATCTCTAAATTAATGTTAAGTATATCACATGAGTGGCCATTAGTGAAAAAAATAAAATTTATGTATAGGTAAGCTGGTATATTTGAGGCACCCTAAGGTAGAATTGATATATTTTATGAAAGGAGGCCTACTGAAAAACCAATGGGTAATGTAGTGACTAATTTGATGACAAACATTCTAATCTTTACTTTATACCATGATATTAGTAGAAATGTATAAAGGGATCTGGGTTATTTATAATATAACATTAGACTTAAAAATTTTTCAGCCTAATATTCAAATTAAATTGTAGCTATATTTTAAAATGTTTGACCATGTAGTGCTCTAGAGAAAACAGAGAAAAACTTTAAAATTATCTAAAATAAACGTTGGCATTTGATTTTCTAGAAAGCTCTATATCATTGTTTATTCAAATTATGTCTTTAGGCCCTGGCTGGCGTAGCTTAGTGAATTGAGTGCGGGCTTTAAACCAAAGTGTCGCAGGTTCAATTCCCAGTCAGGGCACATGCCTGGGTTGCAAGCCATGGCCCCCAGCAACTGCACATTGATGTTTCTCTCTCTCTCTTTCTCCCTCCCTTCCCTCTCTAAAAATAAATAAATAAAATCTTAAAAAATATATTAAAAAAATTATGTCTTTAATTTGTTGGCTATTTCAATGAATCTGCGTCAGTGTATAGTAGAGCAAATTACGACCAAATCAATTAGAAATAGAATAACCAGAGATCTCATAAGCCACCAAAGTAACAAAAATTGGAAATACCAGTGGTTTTTTCGACTTTAAGCAGTATTTGGAAATACAAATTATAGAAAGAGTATATATAAATGTAATACAAATGTTCTACTTATACAGCTAAGTGAGGCTGCATAAACATACTGAAATATCATCAAGGTATATAAACATCTTTATTTAGAAAAAGGGAACATAGTAAAATAACTAGAAGGCAAGGCACTAAAGTTTAAATTTCCTTCCTAACTCAATTTCTCTAACATTTAAAAAATGTCTAAGTTAGCAAATGTTTTGAACCTTCCTTTTTAATCTAAAAATTAGGTATATATACACATATAAAATATGGTTTTATATGTGCTGTGGACTGAGTATTTAATTGAGATATTTTGCAAAGATCTGAAATATGGCACTCAATTATGACCCATAACACATAATTGTTCATTGTCAAAGATATTTTTATAATATTCAGTCAAATATTTTTATAAATTATGACAGGATCCACAATTTTAAGAGCATCTGCTTCATATTCAGGGTTGTCAAATTATCTTCTCTTTCCAAACAAAGTCACTGTCTTTGACCTTTTAACCACCTTCAATTTCCTTCCATAGAGAACATGCAGAAATAAAACCATATTTATAAAAAAATACCACCAAACACCAAGAAATACTATGGTTCAAAGAAATCAAAATATTTTTAAAGATCTTTTTGAAACATTGCTTCTTCGCAGCATTCCCTGAAATTTAATGAAGGTTTTTAGAAGGGCGCTGCACATAGACCAATGGCCAGTGCCAAAAGTAGACATTTAAACTTAGAGAAAAACAGAAAATTCCTAAAGTAGTTTTCTTTCTGATGATTGAACTTCTATTTTTAGATTTGGAGTTTAACCAGCAAAGAGTAACAATGCTTGTTAGCACAACTAACTGGCTTACCTTTTGATTGTACTGAGAACATCTATAACCTTTCTGCAAAGAGGATTTTAAATGACTATTCTCAGTTGGACTCAACATCATAGAGTATTAAAGGTCAATTTAAAATGAAGTTTTCATACCTAATAACCCTTCACTGTGTTTTTCTGCATTTCTTAAAAAAAAAAAGTTTTACACATGAAATTTCTCATTCCTTTAAAAAGATGATTATGTCTCACATATTCTTATCACTGTATCTTAAACACAAAAGTATACTAGTCTAGTTAAAGAAAACACAGGCATAGGTATAAAAATATCCAATTACTATGCTGTACACCTAAATTCATTTAATACTGTATGTCAACTGTAATTGAAAAATAAAATAAAAAATAAAACAAGGCCTAAATGTTTATACTGAAGAAATAACTAACTTACCTCTGCTTGTTCTGGAGTTTCTCCTGCAAAGTAAAAAATGTAATGTTCTTCACTAAAGTGCTGGACTACTATCTGAAAACAGTTTGGCCTTTAAATACAAATAAAAAAGTTATTAGGAAGCTCAACAAGAACTATTAAACACTTAAGACACTTTAAAAAATAACCATATACTATTATATAAGTCATATAAAATTTACATAATTCTTAATTTATAGAAATATTCCATTGTACCAGATCATTACTAAAAAGAAATTGTCAGCAGACTTTTTGGTCTGCACTATTAAAATTTTATTAATCAAAATTTAAAAACTTCACACTACTGTAATACACAGTATTAGTACTGTGTATTAATTTGAAGACATTACAAATAAAAGTTATAAAAAAATTGAAGCTGAATTTCACATAGCTAATCCAAACACTTTTTAGAGCACATAAAATGTTGCTCCAACTCATTACTTCAGGATGATATAAAATATACATATATATACACTCCTGAAAAAGACTACAGACATGTTCTTAGACCAAAAATGTTCTTAGTGGTTGTCTCTCAATAGATAGTGGCTGATTTCAATTTTCCTCTTTATAATATTATGTATTTCCAAATTTTTTACAAGTGACAGTTTTCCCCATCTATTAAAGTGGGAACATCATCTACGCATGCATAACTTGTCCCAAGGATTAAATGACCTCACAGTGGCATACAGAAAATGCTGGTTCTTGTCCTCCCAAGGCATGCATGTCCTGTAAATTCATTTAACATGTAAGGACAATATCAAGTAGTTTGTCTTTTTTTTTTTTGAAGAGGTGCTCTTTCTAACTAGACTTGAAAATGTTTATTAAGGGCCTTCATGTTTTTGAAAGTCAATAAATATTACTTCTATTTCTTGCTTTAACCAAAGATTGTATCTTACACTTTAGTGTTAGGAGGCTATAGCAAAATATCCAGAGCACACACAAACTTAATATTTATTAAAGATAAAAGAACTATTTTTTCATGCTTTGAGAATGCCATAAAATAATGAAAAATGTAAACTAAAACATTCTTCTGAAAGTGGATTGTATCAAGCCAAACTCCTAGCTGTATAAAATATAATCAAAACAAAAGGCAGCTGTTGGAAAATATTGGAAAACAATCAAAGCAGTTAAGACTTGAGAGGCCAAGATCATGTGAGGAGAGCCTGACATTCTCTAGTTTTTCCTTTCAAGGTGTGCGCCAATGCCTATACTGTGTGGAGCAAGAAGTTGAGCAGCCAAGCAGAAAGCAGCAGGTATGATGCTAAAAAGCTAACCAGCACATTCAGCATTACAAGAGAAGGCTTTCTTTCTGTTGAGTCCCCTGCAGAGCTATGCCTTCAGAATAAGGGCAAACCAGAAACAGCCTTCACCAATATCTCTGCTTGATTCTGAGGGAATCAAGATGAACTACCCCGACTCTAAAGTTCTAGCAGAACAACAGTCCTTTCTGGAATCAGTAACATTATCCACAGCTTCTACAGTTTTGCATACATAATGTCCACCATTTGTGTACAGTGTGTTCACAAACATAAGTAGACATTACAGGAATCAGGATCAAATGACCAGAAGCCAAAAGAAAAACCTGACAAAGGAGAAAGCTACACATATAATCAGATATCGAGGTTAGATGTGACTTTCAAATACTACAATTAAAATGTTTAGAAAAATAGGTAACAAAATAAAGAATTTCCCCAGATAACTGGATCTATAAAAGAAGAATTAAATGGAAATTCTAAATTAAAAAATATGCTAAATAAAAGATTTCAATAAATGTACTAAACTTCAAGAGAACAGACTAATGAACTAAAAGACAAATCAAAAGAAAATCCAGCCCAAGGTACAGAAATGATAAGAAATGTAGAAAACTACATAATAGACATATGGACATAGTAAAAAGGTATAAAGTGTTAACACAAATCCCAAAACACAAAAGAGAACGTGGCGGAACTGTTTAAAGAGCTACCGACTGAGAATTCTCCAAAACTGACAAACATCAGGTCTGAGGTTGAAGAAGCTCTACAAAGATTAGGATAAATTTTAAAAGAAAACTACCATTAGGCACATTTTGGTTTAACTGCTGAAAATCTAAGATAAGGAAAAAAAAATCTCAAAGCATACAAAGAAAGATAAAAGACAGTCCCTTGAACACAGAAAAATAGAAGAAACATTATCTCTGAAGAGAAACAATTGGAATGACAGAGAAAATGTTGTAAGGCAGAAAACAATCTTTAAAATGCTGAAATAATTGCTAATCTAAAATTTTAATACCCATAAAAAAAATCCTTACCCGATGAGGATAAAACAGTAAATACTGCAACAGTGAAATGATAAAGGTATAAAAATTCCCAAATAAATTTCATTACATACAATAACTCTATCTCTGAAGTATCCTTAACTTATGCCTCAGAAGTGGTTATTACGTAATAGAGGGTAAAGAGGGGATAAATAGTGACAAAAGGAGACTTGACTTTGGTTGGTGAACACACAATACACAAATGATGTATCTTGGTACTGTATACTTAAAATCTATGTAATTTTGTTAACCAATGAAATTTAGATTGAAAAATAAAGTAAAACAGCATCAAGAGTCAGAAGTTTCATGTAAAGGGCACCCTGACATGGCTCAGTGGGTTGGGTGCCATCTTGCAAAGCACAAGGCCTTTGGTTCCATTCTCAATCAGGGTACATGCCTGTGTTGTGGGCTCGCTCCCTGACCGGGGCACATATGAGAGGCAACCAACTGATATTTCTCTCACATCAATGCTTTTCACCTTCTTTTCTCCCTCCCTTCCCCTCTCTCTAAAAATAAATAAAATCTTTTTTTAAAAAAAGAAGAGTGCTAAGAGATGTCTTAAAATTGAAAATAATCTAAAACATTGGTACAGCTGTGCAATTAAAGCACACAGGAAAATAGCCAAACGAGCAGTGCTGTCCAACATTTCTCCACAACAGGCTGAGCATGCTTACCATGCACATCTACAGCAGAGGGCTGCCTTTAACCTCACATTAGACATCAGTTAAATGATGAAGGTAAGTCAATAGATATTCTATGCTTATACAAAGCAAGAAATGCTTAGTGCCATATATTTGATAACACAATAATGAAAAAGATAACAGCATTTATTCACAATTTCCCCTTTTGTGCTATGGTATTTTCATCTCATGATACACAATTTGGTATTAACCCATTTTTCACTACTCTTAACTATCTGGTAGAGGTATCTTTTCCCTTTCCTGAAATATGTTATGGGTGCTGTTTTCCCTGGCATTCACTCTTTCTTGGCACTTCCCAACAATTTTATAGTCAGGCACACAAAAATACAGTTGATGGTAAAACTGGCAAATTGGGGGGGGGGGGGGTCATTTTTTAAAAATAAAGAGACATGTGTTACTTCCCATGGATACAAATTTTTCATCTTAAGTTTAGACTTGGTATTATTAAATACAATTCATGAACTAGACTTTTTCAAATGTCTTCAAATTCCTGGGTCACCTTCAAGATAAAACTGCACAACAAAAGCAAGTGATGACCTGGCAGCAAACAGTAAATGTGTATTTACTGCTTTTTCACTATCTAACAAAAACTCCTTTCTTGATATTATTAACCAGAATAGAAATAATTCAGTCTTTTTAAATTGCACTGAAAAGATCTGTTCTTCCTTTAACTCTAGGTGTTCTTTTTTTTAAGTTGGCTAGTATAACATTACCTTTCTTTTGATAGTAAAAATAGGTTTTCAATCCAAGTGCACTAGTTCATACAAAGTATGTCAAAATCATTGTCAACCTTTTCATCAAACTTATAGTTGTTGCTTTATTGCTCTTAATAATTCTTTAAGATTCATATTATTCAAATTATAAGTATTACCAGTTAATCATGTTCAACCTCACTTTTTCAAAGTTGAATTTCTGCTTTGAATCCAAAAACTGTCAGAACACATTAGTATCTTTTTGTGCTGTAATCATAACTTTGAGGAAGTTTACCCATTCTTCAATAAATGTGCAAAGTAAGAATCATTCATCAAAAAGTTTATTTTTTCTTCTAGATCATAAACTTTGGACAGCTTACATATTTTGGTATCAAATAGGACGGCATTATTCTGATCCTACTTCCTCCTATAAAACTGAAGACATGCAGCTTAAGCAGCTCAGATTTTGTTAGTCTCCATGTAAAAATTTTATTTCATGTGGAACTACTGCATATAACATGTCTGTATTGCTTGTTTTCCAGAATGAATTTTTCATGCAAAACCTTTAAATGTTCCTATCATGAAGTCTCGTCATCAATCATAAACTTAAATACTATTTCCATAATATCTTTCTGGTTTCTCTGAATGACCGATAATTTACTGCCAAGTATTTCTCTATCATCTGTAGCTTGATTATAGTCTGCACTAAAAATGTAATCTCTGTATCTTTTGATTCATCAAGTCACTTACTGATAATCCTATCTGAACATAATCTAATATAGTGGAAACTCAGTTCTCAAACTGAATTCGTTCCGGCAAAGTGTTCAAGAAATGATTTGTTCAAAAACTGCATCTCTTTTGTCACCTGAGAGACCCATGAGTGATTCCACAGGTATCAGCACGAAAGAAGTGTTGGACAGAGAATCAAGACCCAAAGTTTGGTTAGACAACCCAGACATATTTTCCATAAATAGCCTGTTTGAAAACCACACTGTTCAAGATTTGGAGATTTATCTGTACTGTTTCAAAGTGTCATATCTTATATTTCTTTTGCTTTTTGGCCTCAAACATAGAGATTGCAGTTTTCCATGCAGACTGATAAAACAAGCAACTCTCCAATGCTATGAAGCGTTTTTGGCTCTAGCTTCAATTTCATGATCTCCTAATGAGCTTCCCAAGTATAACCTGATATTGCAGGAAGAGATCTATGAGGAGGGGTTTGGGGAGGAGGAGGGGAAAAGAGGAGAAACTTTATTTGGAGCTCACAGTTCTTTAGTGGTATGGCGCCAGCACCACAGATGTGTTCAGTAACTTTTATGCAATATTTAGTCTAAAGAAGAGAAGATTTACTGGATTTAGTTATCTAAATTCAACACATTTCTTACTA